GTGGTGCCAAAAGAGAGCAGCAGATGGGCGGGTGGGGGGTCTGGGTCTGGGCGGGTGCCGGACAGGGTGCCGCAGAAGTCGTTTTAAGCCAACAGTCACACACTTCGTGCTCTTCGACCTCCCAGAACTCCATTCCCGGGCCACTTTCTGAATGCCCGGAGCCAACTGTAGGCCACTTCGTGGTCTTCGACTTCCCAGAACTCCATTCCCGGGCCACATTTTGAATGCCCGGAGCCAACTGTAGGCCACTTCGTGGTCTTCGAGTTCCCAGAACTCCATTCCTGGGCATGATTTTGAATGCCCGGAGCCAACTGTAGGCCACTTCGTGGTCGTCGAGTTCCCAGAACTCCATTCCTGGGCATGATTTTGAATGCCCGGAGCCAACTGTAGGCCACTTCGTGGTCTTCGAGTTCCCAGAACTCCATTCCTGGGCATGATTTTGAATGCCCGGAGCCAACTGTAGGCCTCTTCGTGTCTTCGAGTTCCCAGAACTCCATTCCTGGGCATGATTTTGAATGCCCGGAGCCAACTGTAGGCCACTTCGTGTTCTTCGAGTTCCCAGAACTCAATTCCCGGGCCACATTTTGAATGCTAAGGCAGGCTGAGGCTGAGGCTGAGGCAGGCTGATGCTGAGGCAGGCTGAGGCTGAGGCTGAGGCTGATGCAGGCTGAAGCTGAGGCAGCCTGAGGCTGACGCCGAGGCTGAAGGCAGACTGAGGCTGAGGCTGAAGCAGGCTGAGGCTGAGGCTGAGGCAGGCTGAGGCTGAGGCAGGCTGAGGCTGAGGCTGAGGCAGGCTGAGGCTGAGGCTGTGTCTGTGACTACCGTTGCCACTGCGACTGTCATCGCGAATGCGACTACGACTGCGAGAACAGCACAATTCTACAACTGGATTCTCATCTGAATCTTAAGGGGAATGCTTCCAGATATGCTCCTACACATCGCTGTTAGGTTGCTTTGCCGGGATAATTTTTGATTAGTCCTCCTGTAGAGGGACAGGCCCGACTTGAACCTATGGCCGCGAGCCGCGGCAACAGGCGCCGCCCACCAGTGCCGGCAGCTCGCCCGCAGCAACCGCTGTGGTTGTGATCAAGTCAAAGCCTGGTCGCCCCTCGACCTCTGCGTCGGTGTTTCCGGCACAGGTGGCGGCGCAGCCGCTGCAGGCGCGGCCTGCGCCGCTGCGCACCTCGAAACATGCGCGGCGACGCCTTGCTTGAGCTGCTTCGCGGTGTCGCCCCCCCCCCCCCTCCCGACCCACCCCGCGAGGCCGCTCGCTTACTTCCAGTGTACCCTGCAGAGCTTTCGCCCTCCTCTAATCGGCGAGCTGCTCGATCCCACAGGCGGAGGCGAGGCAAGCGCAGCAGAAGCTAGCAGCGAGATCCCGACGGCAGCTGCCGCGGGGGACGATCTTCGCTCAGGGCTGGCGCACGGGGAGAAGCTTCACCCCCTCTCTATTTCACACGATGAGGCTCGACCTCAGATTCCTGAGGCGCTGCGCGCTGAGGCTCAACCTTCGCCTGGATCGGGGGCGGCCAAGAGAGGGGCGTCCAAGAGGGGGGGGCGCAAATCATGGCCGGCGGCATGTGCGCGGCCCAGGGGGGGAGGCGGGGACGTTTTGAGACAAGAAGAGGCGCCATGAAATCTGAGGAAATATCATGGCCCACGCCATGATATCCCCCCCCCCTAGTCATCACCCCCCTCTGTGCCGCCCCCGAATGGATGCTCCTGCGCACGCAGCCACCATGCCGAGGCGCGACCCCAATCTCCCGATGAATCGCATGCTGAGCCCTGTCTACGCGCGCGCTGAGGCTGGACACCGGTCTCCTGGAAGCTCCCGTGCACGCGGTCGCCACGCTGAAGCTCGACCCCAGTAGAGGTCAAACATTCCCCCCCCATAAAAACCACCCCGACACGCGAAGTCGTTTAGAAAAATCGCCGAAAGAAGGCATCGCACATGGCAGGGCTGTTCAGCAAACGCCCAGGGCCGTTCAGTAAGCGCCAATGGTCTGGTCCGAGAAGATTTTCCTCCCTTGACCCGCGCTGGTCCAGTCCGAGAAGATGGTCTGGTCTGGTCCAATGGTCTGATCCGAGAAGATGGTTTGGTCCCCTGGTGCTCCACACGCTGCGGCTGCCCGCGCGCATGTTGAGGCTCAGCCCCCCGGGCTCCTGCTGCACGCGCGGAGGCTCGGCCTCGGCCTCCCGAGAGCGCACGCGGCGACTTCGGTTTCACACAATCGGCTGCTCATTTCATATCGCAGCCCTCTGCCCATCGGTCTGGAGGGAGGAGGAAGGAGGAGTGTAGAAGGAGGGTCGGAGGGGGAGGAGGAGGGGAGGAGGAGGAGAGGAGGAGGAGGAGGAGGGGAGGAGGAGGGAGGAGGAGGAGGAGGAGGAGGAGGAAGGAGGAGGAGGAGGGGGGAGAGGAGGAGGAGGAGGAGGATGGCTCCCGCAAGCGCGCCAGGCAGGCGCTCCCCCGTCCACACGGAGTGCTGCACCAAGGGGGCCGCAGACGAGCGACAAACGACCGTGGCCGTCGGGTGCGTGGGCCCCCCCCTCTCCTCCTGGACCACGGGCCCCTGGACCCGAGACGCGGAGCCCCTTCAGCCCTCTGGCCGGCTTCTCTGCCTCCCCCCCTCCCACGCCTGGACCCAATCATCACAAGACCCCTCCCCGACGAGGCGGAGGAGAAGGAGAACGGAAGAGGGGCGCTGCTTGTCATGGACCGACATGCCAATCCAACAATCACTTGCGCAAGCCCGCCCTCCAACCAACCCGGCCCACCCTCGGGCAAATCCTGGCCGATCCTGGCCAACCCTCCCAAACCACGCCTCTGGCCAGCCCTGGCCAGGGTTCAGTCACCCTGTAGAATAAGGACGCACGATAAGGATGCAATGGCCTTGGAAGGCCATTTCGAAGCTTTTCGAGCGGGGCTAGACAAGGATGGGCCGAAGGGGCAAGGATGCAAGGATACCCTTGGGAAGGTTGCCCGGTTGACTGTAGTTCTCATGGGGGGCCGAAAATCCAGGATCTTACGCGTGTTGGACCTCTCTGGGCCCTACGGGGGCTCCTGGGGGCCTCCGGACACCTCGGGAGATGTCATTCTCTCCGGCATGCCTCAGCAATAAGCAAAGCTATCCGACGAAATGCACCCCCTCGTCCTCATTGAGCCGCCACGAGCAGGAGGACCAGGAACACCATCAAGAACAGCATTATGCAGAGCAAGAGGAAGGAGGAAGAGGAGGAGGAGGAGGAGGAGGAGGAGGAGGAGGAGGAGGAGGAGGGGGAGGGGGAGGATCAGAGTCAACCCAAGACGCAGCAGCGATGTTGCAAATTCCAAGTCCCCTCTCATAGAAGCCTTCCTTTCCACTTCAAGAGGCACCCCCTTGGAAGACCAACACCCAAACTGCCTGTTATTCAAGCGAGCGCCCCCTCCGCCGCGGTGCCGCATGGCACGGAGTGGGCGTGTCCTCAGGTCCTTTGCCTGATCCCTTAAACCTCAGTCCTCACTCCGGAAGAATCGTCAATGGGCCCGGGGCCCAAATTTTAGGTCGGGCGTGTCCCCCTACAGGGGGATTTTGGAATTCTAGGTCGGGCCTGTCCCCCTACAGAGGGATTTAGGACGAAATTTCTAAAAACACTCAAGAAATATTAAAAGAAAATCAGAAATACTAGAATATCGTGCCCAGAGTATTTTTCGACTATTTTTGATTATTCCTCCTGTAGAGGGACAGGCCCGACTTAACCCAAATTGCAAATCTCCCGAGAAGGCTCCAGGACGGGCCAAGAGGGCCCCAGGAGGCCCCGAAGACGTTCCAAGAGGGCTCCGAGTCGCCGAACGATCGCTCCAAGACGCTCAAGATGACCCCCAGATGGCCGAAGAGTCCTTCAAGACGCCCCGAGAGGCCTCCAAGAAGCTTCCCAAGAGGTCATAATCATTGACTTCCCATATACTTAGCTGCCCCTGTACGCAGCACGCAACACGTAGCGAATTGATACGGAGCTCAACACGTAGACTGAAAACGTAGGTCTGACGCGATACGATCGCCGAAGCGTGTGCCAATACGTTGAATCAACTCGCATCGTATTGATACGGACGTATTGAGCACGGGACGTGTCGCGTTTCAAAACGGGCGTATCGAGGCAACTAAACCCATACATGTTCGACCAGTTTGGGCGTTCTCGCCTTGTCGGCTTCCCGACGCTCCCAGACGGCCCCAGAGGCTCCCAAGATCGCCCCAAGACAACCCAAAAGGCCTCCAAGAGGACCCCAATAAGGCCCAAGAGGCGCCCAAGACGGCCCAAGAGGCCCCAAAGAAGGCTTCAAGAGGGGGGCGGCCCCAAGAGACCCCAAGAGACCCCAAGAGGCCCCGAAGAGGCCCCAAGAGGCCCCCAAGAGGCCCCCAAGAGACTCCCAAGAGACTCCCAAGAGGCCCCATAACTGCCCCCAAGAGGCCCCCGAGAGCGCTCCAAAGAGACCCCAAGAAGCATCCCTGATAACTCTCACCCACAACCCAGGCACGGTGGCGGATGGGCCGAATGCCATTAGATAAGGAACGCGCCAAGGTAGGATCATGCAGATCAGCGAGGTGTCTAGCGAGATCCCCATAAAAAAACGCCCACTCTGTGTATAGAACCCGCTACGGCGAGAGCCCCTATCTTAAAAGGAGCCGTCCTCCATCCTTGAAGCTGTTGTGAAGTTCGAGCTTCAAGATCAGACGTGGTGAGGGAGTCTCAAGCGAAACGCCAGGCCCGCCCTTCCAACACGTCTGGGGGTGCGGCAGGGATGATTAATTTTGTAAGGAAAGGGATGAAGTAGGGATGATGAGGAGCCGAAGGAGCAGGAGGATGAGCAAGAGGACGACGAGGACGAACGAGGAGGACGGGGACGGAAGAGGATAAGGTGGAGGACGACGACCAGGGAGAGGAGGACGAGGAAGGAGGACGACGAGGACGAGGAAGGATAGAGGGGCAAGGAGGACGAGGAAGCAGCGGAGCAACGGCCCGGCCTGGTGCCATTGTCCACGTGGCGCTTGATGGGCTTGTCGTTCGCCGTTCGCGCCACGATCTGGAGGGCCGACGGGCGCGTGGCGCCGCTCCCGCGCGCACCGCCGGCCTCGGCTCTCACCCGCTCACCGCTCGACGCACGCGAGGGAGGAGGGGGAGGAGGAGGATAAGGAGGAGGAGGAGGAGGAGGAGGAGGAGGAGAAGGAGGAGGAGGACCAGTGGAGGCCCAAGAGTCAGCAACGATGCTGGAAGAAACCCTTCCCCCGAGGGAAGGTCCGAGGCGCAGGGCGCGGGGTGGGGAGAGCACGGAGAGAGGAGGTCTCGAGGCACGGCCTGCTTCTCTCTCGCTCGCTCGTCGTCCGCATCGCTGTCGTCGATGCGGTCGTCCTCCGTCTTCCGTCCTCCCTCCTCTCCTTCCTCTCCTCCTCCTCCTCCTCCTCCTCCTCTTTCTCCTCTTCCTCCTCCTCCTCCACCTCCTCCGCCTTCGCCTCTGCCTCCTCCTCCAGCTCCTCTTCCTCCTCTTTCTCCTCCTCCGCCTCCGCCTCCGCCGCCTCCTCCTCCTCCTCCTCCTCCTCCTCCTGATCCTCTTCCTCCTCCTCCTCCTCCTTCTCCTCCTCCTCCTCTCCCTCCCCCCCACCCCCCTGCCACCATGTTGCCCCCGGGTCGAGGCAAATACTGTGCTCGACATGTCTGTGGCGGCCCTTTCTCGTGCAAGGATAGCTGCGCGCCCTCCAGAGGCCTCCTGGGACTCGCGGGAGTCAGGATCAAGGCCCGCACTAACATGTATGATGTACCAGCTCTTCCTCTGCTGCATCCTCCTTCTCTTACTCCTTCTTCTGGTCCTCGTCCGCCTCCGCCTCAGCCTCCATATCCTCGTCCTCCTCGTGCTCGTCCTTCCGCTGGCTCGCCTCTTCGTCACTGCACCCCCATCACATTCTCATCATCTTCTTACTGCTGCCGACTTCGCTCCAATCACTCCTCGCCCTGTCCTTCGGCGTCCATCCCAAACAACCAATGCGCCCTCTTCCGCCTCCTACACGTTACCCTCCTTGTGCTTATATGTTTCTCTTCGCGCCTCCTTACCTTCCTTTTCCTGCTCCTTTTCCCTCTGCCTTTCCTCGCTCCCTGCCAGGGAGGTGGGAGGGAATGTGCCAAGGATAACCTCGCCGACGTATGGAGGAGATCAAGAGCGTCCGATGGCTGAGGACCTGCCTCGTTTCCACAACTGCAAGGTTCGTTCCATATTTGATTTGAATAAGGGCTGCACGCAGTCACGTAGTATCCCGACCAACCGAAACGTATAATAGTGATACAATACCTATACGACCACCCTTCGGGTGATAAGGAGGTTCGGGTGGGAGGAACCAACGCCTCACTCGATCGGTCTCACTATCGATCTCACTATCGATATCACTATCGGTCTCGCTCGATCGATCTAATTCGATCGATCTCACAATCGATCTCACTCGATCTATTTCATTCGATCGATCTCACCATCGATCTGACTAACGATCTCACAATCGATCTCACCATCGATCCCCCAATATACCCCACATGCGATCTCACTATCGATCTCACTATCGAGATCAAGATCGACATCGCAATCAACGTCATGATCATCGTCAACATCATCGTCATCAACGTCATCAACGTCATCATCATCGTCATCATCATCATCGGGACACAATCATCATCACCTCATCACCATCATCATCAACATCAACATCATCACCGTCATCATCACTACGGGGAAACTATCATCGTCACCAATATCATCATCAACAACCATCATCATCATCGGGGCACCATCGTCATCATCATCGGAACACCACCGTCATCATACTCATCATCATCCCATTATCATCTTCATGAACAACATTACCAACATCATCCTCATCGAGACACCATCATCATTATCATCAGCAATGTCGTCATCATCAGCATCACCAGCATCGGGACACCATCATCATCGTCACGATCATCATCATCACCATCATCATCACCATCATCATCGGGACACCGTCACCATCAACAACATCAGCATCATCATCACCATCGGGCCACCTTCGTCAAAATCAGCATCATCACCTCATCATCAACAGCATCATCATCATCATCATCGGGACACCCTCATTGTCATCAACATCATCATTATGGGGACACCATCCTCACCATCATCATCACCATCATCATCATCAACCTCATAATCATCATCATCGGGGCACAGTCGTCATCATCTTCATCATCATCATGTCATCATCTCATCACCATCAACATCATCAACATCATCAGCATCACCATCACCGGGGCACGCTCATCGTCATCATGAGCAACCTCAGCATCATCAACAACATCATCATCATCATCATCATCATCATCGGGGCACCATCATCGTCACCACCATGGCCATCATCATCATCATCATCACCATCATCATCATCATCATCGGGACACCATCATCGTCACCATCATCATCATCATCACCATCATCATTGGGACACCGTCATCATCATCGGAACAACACCATAGTCATAATCTCATCATCCCATCATCATGCACAACACCATCAACATCATCATCATCCGGACACCACCATCATCAACAACAAAATCATCATCATCATCATCATCATCATCATCATCATCATCGGGACACCACTATCATCGTCACCATCATCATCGTCAACATCATCATCATCGGGGCACCATCATGATCAACATCAGCATCATTATCATCATCGGGCCACAATCATCATCATAATCAGCATCATCACCTCAACATAATCCTCATCATCGGGACACCAGCATCGTCATCATCATCACCATCATCATCATCGGGACACCATCATAATCACCATCATCAGCAACAGCGTCATCATCAACCTCATCATCATCATCGGGACACCATCATCATCTTCATCACCATCATCATCCCATCATCTCATCATTATCATCAGCATCACCCGGATCATCAACATCATCATCATCATCATCATCATCATCATCATCATCGGGACACCACCATCATCATCATCAGCAACATCACCATCATCAACATCATCATCATCATGATCGGGACACCATCATCATCACTTCCACGGCCATCATCATCATCATCAACATCGTCATCATCATCATCATCATCATCATCACCATCATCATCATCATCGGGACACCGACGGGACACCGACGGGACACCGGCGGGACACCGCGCGCCACCGTGCCCCGGAAAGGAAACATTTGGTCCGGCCGCGCCTCAGCCAGAGGCGGGACACTTCTCGCCCGCCCACGCAGCTTCGTCTCGCCCGCACGCACGGCACGCACGAACACGAAACCGAAACCGATTTCCAGGTAGGGGGGCTCTCCGTTCCACTTTTATCTCGCCCCCTCACCTCCGATGCCTGGTGCTCGCCGCCGCCATCCTCGTTTTCGACGCTGCCTCTATCCTCTCCATGCCCCCCCCAGGCCTCGATGTTGTCCCAGCGGTCCTCTGGGAGCTCCACCAAGACATTCTCAAGCAGATCCAGACCTTGGAAGCGCTCTGCAGAGGATTCCACGAAGTTGTCTGCTAACCTTGCGGCAATGGGGAAAGCTGGGAGAGCGCTCGCCACATACAAAGTCTTAACTGCTCGTCGCATGTCTCCTGACACGATTTGATAGGGGACTCCATGAAACAGCTGTGCCACTCGCAGCGGAATGCGCACGTTTACCCGTAACTTTCCCCTGCCCCTGCATATTCGAAAAAACCTCGCGCAACCACAATCTAAACAGGTAGTTAGTGCCACTCGCGGCATTGAGGAAAAGAGATGCAAACGCAGAAGCGTCAGAACAACGATGAGGGATCCTCGCTTTCCCAGCATAGCGTCTGGCTCAAGAACAATGTGTGCGTGTGTGCGTGTGCGCGACGGGGCGATGCTCCCCGGAGCCGTCTGTGCACCTCGGGATAGCAATTCCCGTCGTTCAAGCTGCGCTTATACCATAATGCGCTGGTCGCAGACTCTGGCCCAGGGACCTGCCGCTTGGGCTGCCATGCTCTTGTGCTGGTGCGCCAGGACTACCTACGCCAGGTGCTGATGTGAGCAAAAAACGCGTACGCATGCTGAGACGCAGAAGGACATTGCCTCGACCACCCGTGCCTGTTCAAATGCGATGGAGGGAGGAGGGACCCAACCAACGATGGATACACACATACATGTATGAGCAGAAAGAGCGAGAGAGAGAGAGAGACACAGAGAGAGTGAGAGAGCTACACATACACACATATCTGTATATAGATACATATATATATGTATATATACATTGAGAGTTACATGTGTAAGTAAGGGCGAGAACAATTGAGAAGGACACATTCACACACATACGCATAAACGCACGATACACGTTTGCATGTGCGCATGTGCATACAACAGATGAGAGCTGAAGGAGAGTGGGAGGGAGGGAGGGAAGGGGGCACATGAAACAGATGAGAGCGGAAGGGTGGGAGGACGAGAGATAGAGAGAAAGAGAGAGAGAGAAAGAGAGAGAGAGAGAGAGAAACCGAGGTGTACGAATACGGGGCACATCTGGTACATGTACAAATGCACATCTATGTTTGTGTGTGTAGAGAGAGAGGGAAGAAACACATAACATGGGATACATACGCATAGCTGTATTCATACACACATATATACACATATGGAGAAAGTCGGCAACGTGCCTGCACGATGTGAGCGTGTTCGAATGCCAGGTGCTGCTCTTCAGGGTTCCTGTATTCTAATAAACCCCATCCCCTCCCTCGCCCCTGAGTGCCGCGAGCATCACCCCGATCCCTCGCAACAGAAGCAATGGCTCCGCGCTCCCGAGGCCACGGCCCCTGTAAAAAACAATAGATCCGCGTCCTGAGCTTCCAAGACAGGTCTGAGCTAGATCGAATCGCGAAGTCGGATTAGATCGGAAACATATCGGTTCGCCACCGAATCTTCCCGAATCCAATCGGAATCGGATCGCCGCGCCTGGCTTTGGGCTGGTCCTGGCCAGTGCTGGCGAATCGATTCGGATCGAATCGAATCGGGATTCGGGTCGAATCGAATCGGAATCGCGGCACCAGCCGGCGAATCGAATCGCATCGAATCGTAGGCGGCCCTGCAAGACGGCCCATGCAGGCAACCGAGGGCACCAAGATGGCCCCAAAAAACCTCGAAGACGGGCCTCTAAACGGTCACACGGCAGACGAATATGGCTGAAGAAGGCCCAAGATGCCTCCAAGATGGTCTGAAGAGTTCCCTTGGATTGTTTAGTGGTATTTGCATTATGACCTGGCCCAAGGGGCCCCCACGAGGGTCCAAAGGTGGCCCAAAAGGACCCCACCAGGGCTCAAGAGGCATCCAAGACGGCCCCAAGCCGGCCCTAGAAGACCCTTCAACTGCCCAGGGCGGCGCCACGACGGCCCAATGCCAGCCCCACAGGCACCTACCATATGGCTTAAAAAGGCCCCCAAACGGCCCAAGAGAGCTTCAAGACGGCTTCAGAGGGTCCCCAGACGGCTCAAGAGGGCCCCAAGCAACCTCAAACATTCCTCATAATGGGCCAAGACAGCCCCAGGACGCTGGCCCTAGGATGGGAGAAAGCGCAATTCCGGTTCAGCGAGAATGGCAAACATTGCCAATGCGTCATAACGATTGCGCAGAGGAAGTGCTACCGCGCACCCGTCGAGGTCACGAGGAAGTGCGCCTGCACTGGCGAGAGAGAACCCCTCTGCGCTGTATGCGCCTTGTAAGAAGCGTCAGTGCAGGCAGCATTGCCGTTTGCCCACGTCTCGCACTCCGAAGCGTTAGCCTTTGCGAAGGCCGGTGCAGTGGCGCTTGAGTTTCCAACACGCATGCCTTCCACAGAAGGTTCGCTGACGATGCGCTCCGGGCCAGAGGAGTCTCCGCTCTGTTCTGGTCTGGCGGCTGGAGAGGGCTTGCTGCCTTCGGGTAGTTACTCCACAGCGCAATCCCGCGGCGAGCTGGCCGCGGCCGAGTGGCTGGTGCAGCACTCGGGGTCAAGCGGCGGCGAAAGTGGATAGTCGCGCTCGCATGCAGTGGGCGTGGTTGAAACAGCGTCTCCGAGGCGCGCCTTCCTTCTTCTTTCGCCTGTCGGCTCATCGCCGCCTGCCTGGGCCCTCCTGGATGCAGTGGGCCCTGGGAATTCTTTCACTCGGGCCCAGCTTGGCGGCGCCGTGTGTCTTTCAGCCCAAAGCGGGCGCGGGGGCGCCGACCCGCTCGCCCATTCTGTGGGGAAGCGCATGTTGAGTTTGCCTGCCCCCAAATCGCTGCGCCAGTTGGGGGTTATCCAAAGACCCGTAGGGTTTAATGGATGCTCCCGCTCTTGCAACCCCGGGCCCTCTTCCGTATGTACTGGCCTATGCTCTTCACGCTTCCAGCGCCTGCAGCCCTGGCTCCGGTCCGTGGGTGTGGCCGGGATCCCGTCCCGCGTCCACTGCCATAGCACTTCAGTCCCGGCTGGCCGCTCTGGCGCGCTCACCCTGAAACGCTTTCAGCCGTGAGCGCCTTCCTCCTCCCTTTCGTGCTCTGCGGCCACCCCTCCTCCCCGCGCCCTCTAGCGCAACCGGACAGTTAGTTTGTCACATGTCCCTGGCAACTCGAGCGCCTGTGCGGATCGCCTCTGTCGTGCTGCGACGCAGAACGCTGTCTCGATATCACTATTGATCTCCCGTCGGTCACTCCATTAATCTTCCAGTCTCACTGTCAGTCGGTCTCACTACTGATCTCACAGTGTGTCCCACTATCTATCTAACGACCTCACCATGGGTTGGTCTCACTATTCACCGATATCGCTATCTGACTACCGATCTCCTGGGAAAACCATCGGGACAACCATCGCGACCCCGTCGGGACACCATCGGGACACCATTGGGACACCGTCGGGACACCATCGGTGCACCATCGGGACATCATTGTAACACCATCGGGACACCATTGGGACACCATTGGAACGCCATGAGGACACCATCGGGACACCGTCGGGACACCTTCGGGACACCATCGGAACAGCATCGGGACATCCTCAAGCTACCGCCAACCAACCGGCGGGACACCCCCGAGCCACAGCTGGGCAACCGGGGAGGGCCAGCATCAGTTGGCCTGGTTTCGCCCCAGCAGCGGCGAGTTCACTCCGCTCGCCCGCCCACACAAATTCTCCTCGCCCGCCCCCGCGCACGACACGAAGCCGAAACTGAATTCCTGGTGGGGTGTCTCCATTTCACTTCGATCTCGCCCTCCAAACCCCAATTCAGGAGGAGAGCGACATGATTGGCGACACGATCCAACTCGATACCTTAGACTCCGATGGCCTCATTACATCGTCTCACTCAGGCTCCTGGTCAGTCTCCTCCTCTCTCGCCCCTTCGTTGAGGAGACGGACAGTGGAGATCGGGCGGCCAAGACGAACTGCTGGCTCCATTGAGCCAGGGAGTAGGAGAAGGGTAAGGAAGGAGAAGGGGGAGGAGGAGGAGGAGGAGGAGGAGGAGGAGGAGGAGGAGAAGGAGGAGGAGGAGGATGAGAAGGAGAAGGAGGAGGAGGGGGAGGAGGAGGAGGAGGAGGAGGAAGGAGGAGGAGGAGGATGAGAGAGGAGGAGAAGGATGGGGAGGAGGAGGAGGAGGGAAGGAGGAGGAGGAGGAGGAGGAGGAAAGTGGGCCACCCGCAAGCGGCTGGATTCGGCTAAAACGCCACAATGTGGCCCATCCAAGATCAGTCACTGTCTCCGCTGCACTCACGCTGCATGCTGTTACCACACAGGGCCCGTGCTCTCCTCCTCCCGCTGAGCGGCCGCAACAGCTGCAAGGGCCCCTCAATCAGAAGCGCGGGCAAGAGATGAGAAGGAAGAGCGGATCCTCCTCCTCCTCCTCCTCCTCATCCTCCTCCTCCTCCTCCTTCTCCTTTTCCTCCTCCTCCTTTTCCTCCTTTTCTAAATGACTTCCCCCTGTCGCACCCCGAGGCAAATTTCTAGGGCGGTCCGGGCGTTTCGCCTGAGACTTCCTTACCGTTTGTGACCCTGCAACTCAATCATTAACAACAGTTTCACATACGGAGGGCGGGTGGTTTTCAAAATGTGGCTCTCGCGTTAGCGCCGCACGCATTCGCTTTCATAATTTGCAAGGGTTTCACGGATTGAGGGCGGTTCCTTTTCAAAGTGTTGCTCTCGCCTTAGCGCCAAGCACATTCGTTCCAACAAGTTGAAGAAGTTTCATGGATCACGGGCGGTGCCTTTTCACAATGTGGCTCTCGCCTTAGCGCCGCGTGCATTCGTTTCAACAAGTTGAAGAAGTTTCATGGATCACGGGCGGTGCCTTTTCACAATGTGGCTCTCGCCTTAGCGCCGCGTGCATTCGTTTTCTTTTTGTTGTTTGCATTGTTTGTTTCTTTGTTGTTTTCTTGCGTATGCAAGAATGCAAATGTTTCACGGATTCTCAGGATCAGCGTACCAGAAATAGTGTTTTGGAAGGATTCAGGATTATGAGGGTGCAACACTGACGTTGGGTTGCGGTGTTGAAGTCCCTGGAATGGCGGCGCGAATCAGGATCATCAAGGCGCAACAATCAGGTTGATGAGTGGCGTTGGAATCCGGAGAACGATGTTTTCGTATGCATCAGGGTCTTCAAACGGCTGTCTTCCAACGAGGCAGTTCCCGCAGTGGAAATGAGCCCCTGTAGGGGCCTATGAAGAGGGAGCTTGGAGAGAGGGTTTATTCCAACAACGGTGGTGACTCTTGGGTTTACTCTGGTCGTCCTCGTCCTCGTCCTCGTCTTCTTCCTCCTCCTCCTCCTCCTCCTCCTCCTCCTCCTCCTCCTCCTCCCCCTCCCCCTCCCCTCCTCTCCTCCTCCTCCTCCTCCTCCTCCTCTCCTCCTCTCCTCCCCTTCTCCTCCTCCTCCCTCCTCCTCCTCCTCCCTCCTCCTCCTCCTCCCCCTCCTCCTCCTCCTCCTCCTCCTCCTCCTCCTCCTCCTCCTCCTCCCCCTCTCTGTCTGTGCCGCCGCATGTCTGAGGGGGCGGAGCGGGCGCTACACTGCGGCTGCGGCTTCCCCAGATAAGGGCCGAGGGGAGACCTCTGCAGGGGGCTGCTGCCGCCCAGCCCCGCGGCAGGGGTGCACGCCTGCAGATGGCGCCGGCCCGCAGGCCCTCGGACCTCTGGAGGCGCCTCGCGGGGACACGCCAGGGGAAGCCACGATAAGGAGAAGCTCGGGCCAAGGTCAATCTGTGTTCTCTGAGATCCGGCGGTTCTGGCGGATACATCGTGCGCCGTGACCGCTCGGGAGCGCTCCAGGGCGACTCTGAGAGCGTTCCGGGACTCCCTGGAACGAGCTATCCCAGTCCTGGGCCCGCCCGGAACATGGAGGCGGGTGACTCCGTCAGGTTCCGTGTGTGTGTGTGCGTGTGTGTGTGTGTGTGTGTGTGTGACTGGGCCACGGCCGCCATTTTCGCTCCGTTCCCGGCCTCTGGACCCTCACAGGTCGATGCAGCTCGAAACGTGAGGCAGAAAGATTGAGCCCAGCTTCAGTCGTGCCTCTTTAACGTCGGCTTCTCGCGGCTGCCCAAATCCCTGGGTCCAGGGGAACTCTTCCATCTAGCTTTCATCCAGGCCCTACGTACTCGTTTCAGGTCTTTGCTCCACCCACCACTCCACCGAAGGGGTTTTATCCTCGTCGTGAGGGGTTTTATCACTGGCGACCCTGTCGGCGTGTGTGAGGGGTTTTATTCTCGTCGTCTTTGTCGTCGTCGTCGTCGTCGTCGTCGTCGTCGTCGTCGTCGTCGTCGTCGTCGTCTCCGTCTTTGTCGTCTCATCCTTGTCTCCGTCAATAATCGTCTCCGTCGTTCCCCGTCTCTTTTTTTTCTGGGCTCCTTTTTTTCTGGGCCTTCCTCCTTAAGCGCGCCGGCTGACGCGAAACTGAGCAACGTCTTGACTGAATCGAAGGGAAGCCCCGTCCCTTAGATCCCTTCCCCGGGGGGGGGGGGGGGGGCGGTCCCGGAGGGGGGGGTCTCAGGGGTGGGGGGGTCGCTGCCAAAACACGTCCCCCCCGGCGGTCCCGGGGCCTACCCAAGACGCGGCCAGAGCGCCCTAAAGGCCTGCCAATTCGGTTCAAAGCGGCCCCGAATCCGAAGACGATCGGTCCAAGACGTTTCCAAGACGTTTCCAAGACGGTTCCAAGACGCCCCAAGAGACCTCCCAGAGCGCTCTCAAGAGAGCCTGGTGAGGCTCAAATTGTTGACTTTCCTGAGGATGTTGATTGTTTTTGGCGTTCTCGCCTTCTCGGCTTCCCCACGCGCCAACTCGCCCGAGAGGGGTTCCATCTCGCCACAAGATAACTCAACAGGTCTCCAAGAGACCCCCACAACGACCCAAGAGAGCCCCAAGACCGCCCAAGAGGCCTTCAAGACGGCCCCAGATGACTCCAAGACGGTCCCAAGAGACTGCCCATACCGAATACCCGACGAGCCTTCGGCGTTCAAGGCTCCCACGACTCCCCAAAACGCCCCCGAAATGCCTGCCGAAAACCCCCAAAGGGCATCCGGGAAACTCCTCAAGGCTCCCAGAAGCCTCCGAACAGGCCCTAACAGCGTAGAGGCCGCCGAGAGCGCTCCGAAAAGACCCCCTGAAGCATCCCTGAGCGCTCTGACCCACGTCCACATCGTCGTCGTCGTCATCATCGTCGTCGCCATCGTCTTCGTCTTCGTCGTCCTCAACCTACCCCTCAGAGGCCTCCGAGCGCGCTCCGGAGAAAACCCCTGGCGCATCCCTCTGGACTCTGACCCACGTCCACATCGTCGTCGTCGTCGTCGCCGCCACAACCATCTACTTTCTCAACTTCTTCAAAACTTCCGGCGTCTCGCCTTTCCGGCTTCCTCACGCCGCAAGACGGCCCCATACGCCCCCCAAATCGCTCCCAGATGGCTCCGGAGGTCTCACACGAAGCCCTCGAGAGGCTCCCAAGAGTCTCTCAAGAGATCATCGCGACGCTGCACCATCATGCGCTAAGGTTGCCTCAAGACTCCTTCAGAAGACCCCAAAGCGGCCAACAAGGGCTCCAAGAGGACCCCCAGCAGGGCCCGAATAAGTCAAGATCATGCCATTGTTGTCCTTGCGTGCTTGAACGGTGCCCGCAGCCTCTCAAGGCGGCCCACGAAGAGTCGAGGATTGCTCCTCCTGCTTCTCCTCCCTCTCATACCCCCTCCTGCTCCTCTTTCACACCGCCATCAACCCCACCCCCCTCATCTTGCTCCTCCTCCACCTCCCCCTGCACTCCCCTCCAGTGCTCGGCTCCCCCGCTCAACCTTTGCCTCCCCCTCCCGATGCTCCTCCACGTCCTTGTCACCCTCCTCCTCCTCCTCCTCCTCCTCCTCCTCCCCCTCCTCCTCCTCCTCCTCCTCCTCCTCCTCCTCCTCTTTCTTCACCTCCTCACTCTCATCGGCGTCCTCCTCCTCCTCCTTCTCCTCGTCCTCCTCCTCATGCGGCTCATCCTGCTCTTCATCCTCCTGCTCCATCTCCTCCTCTCACCTCCTCCTGCTGCCCCTCTCCCACCCTCCTCCTCCTCGTCCTCAGCCTCGTCGTCGACGTCATCGTTTTCAGGGTCGGCGGCACCAGCCGTAAGGCCTTCTCAATGGGAGATATTGATCATCAGGCGCCGACCAGTTGACTAACGCAGAGCGCGCGCGCACGTGCAAGACGACATCAGTATTACCATTACTGTTGCTAGAGGACGTTGCAGCGCAACGAGTGGGATGCTACGCGCACTAACTCTTTGCTGCGCAACTGGGCGCTGTCCTGCTATGTAGCATCCTGCCCATATTCAGTACGCCCGGCGTTCACAGGCACATGCTGGGCGAAACCAACGGCGAATGTGCTAAAAAAAAGCCCTCGGACCACTGTCAAGCAAACTTCCAACATCAACTCCCACAGTGCACTCCCGAGGCCCAGCTCCGAGGGGTGATCGGCCCAACCGACCGCATGCAGTAACAGCCTCGCGACGCCAGGGAATCTGAATGCCCGAGCTGGACTTCCAGCCGTGGAGACTCTGGCCTCGGAGAGGCTGCTGCGTGTGGAACTCGGGAGCCTCGGGGAGCACGCCGAGGGGAGAGGCCGTGGGCGTGGGGGTCCCGCCGCGGATGCGACGAGCGGAGCCTCGGGCGGGGACCGCGCGACCGGCGGGACCACATCCTCTACTGGCGAGGTTCCGACCGCCAACCTCGAGGCTCCTGCTCCTCCTCTTGGACATCGGGCTGCGAGCGGCCGTCGCCTGCAGACGGCTGCCAACTGGCATTCCTACAGGCCCTCTGGCCGAGGCCCCACACGCCGCCACGCTGGTCCTGGGCAGGCTGTGCGGCCCGGCTGAAGGGGACCAGGAGGGGAGAAGCAGGCGGACGACGACGAACGCGCAGGCGGGAGGCCAGGGCGGGCGGGGCGGGCGGGCAGGCAGAAGAGGGGCCAGGCGTAGACAGCAGGCAGGGAGCAGGAGGTCCTCCTCCCCCGAGATTCCAGGGCGGCGACTCAGACCTGCGACCTCAGACTTGCTGTCTTGGAGCCTCTGGGCGTGCCTCCGACGACGACTCCGTTCGTCGAGTCGCCCCCCCAGAATTCTTGACCCCCCCCCCAGGGCCAATGTTTCATCCCGAACATCCCAAGGCGGCGGATCAGACCTGCGACCTCAGACTTGCTGTCTTGGGGCCCCTGGGTGTGCATCCGACGACTCCGCTCGTCGAGTCGCCCCCCCCAAAGGCCAATATTTCATCCCGAACATGTGTTTGACGGTCCCAGTGTCCGGAGGCGGCCCCCAGAGGGCAACCGACAGATCGTGACACGCTACCCGAACGTTTGTTTTCGAAGTCGCCGGAGATTAACGCCGCCTCCCCGGATCAGTCACACGGTGCGTTCAGGCGAAGACCTCCGAGTTCGTTCAGCCCCGACTGCAAATGGCAATCCGTACGTGACCACACGGGACACTCGGGAGCCCCGAACAACGCCCGAACAATTCTCGATTCTTCTCCTCCTCCTCGTCTTCGTCCTCGTCTCCGCTCCCCCCGACCCCGAAATCAGTCCAGAATTGGTCCCTGGATTTCTCCCGTGGAGCTCCAGGTTGTTTTCTTGTAAACAAGCAAATGCTCGATTGATTCTTGACGGTCCCGTCCCAAGGCCAGAGATGGAACCCCCGAGGACAACACTCACCCGACACGGACCATCCCCTTCTGCATGCGAGACGACTATTTGGATGGATTGAATTCTGCAGCAGAGAAGGTTGCGAAATATGCAACACTCCGCGCTGCTTCGCCGAACAATTCAGAGCCACGCGCGTCGCTCACCTGCGCAACTCAGATCGCACAAGGGACTGCGCGACCAGCACGTCAAGGAACATAGAGCGGGGGAAAGATCTGGAGGATGATGAGGAGGGCGGAGGAGGACAAGGAGGATTGAAATGGAAGGGGAAGACATACTGGTGAGATTAACAGCGCCGTGTGCTACGTCTGCTCGGTTCGCCAGCGCTGCCGCTGCGGGCGACAAGCACCTGAGTGGGGGAGGGGAGTGGGCCACTGAGGACAGCGGCAGCGAAGTCGGAAGAGGATTGGTTTGACTATCCCCTGCGCTGGACCTCCCAGGAATCCACGACAATGAAGACAATGGCGCAATTCGCAGCCCTCCAACGGAGCCACGAGGTCTCGCCTGGATCTGCGCAGACCTCACCTCCGCGATGCGTCTCAGGAGCCCGCGAAAGTGACGGCAGTTGCGCAGCTCGTATCCCCCGACGGAGCCGCGAGGTCCCGCCTGGATCTGCGCTGCCCTCATCTGCACAGTGCCTCCCAAGAGCCCAAGAAAGTGGCGACAATTGCGCAATTCGCAGTCCCCGAGGGAGGTCTGAAAATCATCCGCGCAACCCTCACCTCCGCCGTGGCTTCCAGGAGCTTACGAAAGTGACGACAACTGCGCAATTCGCACCCCTCGACGGAGCCGCGAGGTCTCAAAATCATCCGCGCTGCCCTCACCTCCGCCGTGGCTCTCAGGCGCCCAAGAAAGTGGCGACAATTGCGCAAGTCGCACCCCTCGACTGAGCCGCGAGGTCTCAAAATCATCCGCGCTGCCCTCACCTCCGCCGTGGCTCCCGGGCACCCGCCCAAGTGGCGACAATTGAGCGTTTTCGCAGCGCCAGAGCCAGAGGGACCCGCCGCGAGGGCTCAAAATCATCCGCGCTGCCCTCACTTCCGCCGTGGCTCCCAGGAGCTTACGAAAGTGACGACAACTGCGCAATTCGCACCCCTCGACGGAGCCGCGAGGTCTCAAAATCATCCGCGCTGCCCTCACCTCCGCCGTGGCTCTCAGGCGCCCACGAAAGTGGCGACAATTGCGCGTTTTCGCAGCCCCAACGGGACCCGCGAGGTCTCAAAATCATCCGCGCTGCCCTCACCTCCGCCGTGGCTCCCAAGCGCCCACGAAAGTGGCGACAATTGCGCTTTTTCGCAGCCCCAACGGGACCCGCGAGGTCTCAAAATCATCAGCGCTGCCCTCACCTCCGCCGTGGCACCCGGGCACCCGCCCAAGTGGCGACAATTGAGCGTTTTCGCAGCCCCAGAGGGAGCCGCGAGGTCTCGCGATCATCCGCGCTGCACTCGCCTCCGCCGTGGCTCCCAGGCGCCCACGAATGTGGCGACAGTTGCGCAGTTCGCATCCCCCAACGGGACCCGCGAGGTCTCAAAATCATCCGCGCTGCCCTCACTTCCGCCGTGGCTCCCAGGAGCCCACAACGCTCTCTGCTCAGAACGAGAACCAAACACAGAAGGACCGGGAATTACCCTTCTCCTCGGACCGGGGGTGCAGCGACAGGGAGGTGGTGCAATAGCTTTGGCGCAATAGACTTGTGGGGTCGCAGTAGGTTTAGGGCGTGCAGTACGTTCCGGCGCGCAGATGTCTTGCTGGGCTTTCGCGTGCAATACCTTAGTTGCAAAACACCTGCGTTACAACTCTCTGGCGCAAGACATGTGCAATACACTTGTCCCAAGCCCATGTGCCACACACTTGTCCCAAGCTTCTCTGCTCGGGCCCCTTCCCCGCACCGAGGATGAGTTGCAGAGGAGGAGGAGGAGGAGGAGGAGGAGGAGAAGGAGGAGGGGGAGGAGGAGGAGGAGGAGGGAGGGCGAAGGGAGGAGGAGGAGGGAGGGGGAGGAGGAGGAGGAGGAGGAGGAGGAGGAGGAGGAGGAGGAGGAGGAAGAGGAGGAGGAGGAGGATGAGGAGGAGGAGGAGAAGGAGGAGCCTTTCAGCTGGACCGCTATTTGGGTCAACCAGAACTCCCCGCTTCGCCCCGCCCGGCGCGCCCTCTCTTCTTCCGCCGCCCGTCGGGCTCCGGCAGCGCCAGCCCGGCCGAGAAGAGCCCGCGCAGCACTGCGGCGCCGACCCGCGCGCCCCGGTGGCCGTCGATATCCTCGCAGAGTCGCGCGCGCGCACGCTCGCGCCAGAGGAGGAGGAGGAGGAGGAGGAGAAGGAGGAGGAGGAGGAGGAGCAGGAGGACGAGGAAGAGGAGGAGGAGGAAGAGGAAAAGGAGGAGGACCAGTGTAAACCCAAGAGGAATCGACGATGTTTGAGTAACCCCCCTTTCCAAGCTCCCTCTTCAGAGGCCCCATACAACGGTTCATTTTTACTGAGGGAACTGCCTCGTTGGAAAAAAACTGTTTGAAGACCCCGAAGAATGCCAAAGCATTGTTCTCGAGATTCCAAAGCTGGACGATCCTGGATTGCAGAACGCCGTTCCTGGGACTTGAACACCGCGAGTCAGCATAACTTATGCGCCCTCATAAACCTGAATCCTTCCAGAACATCATTTCTGGTACGCTGATCATGGGAATCCCTGAAACTCTTGTAATTTTCAAAAAAACGAATGCGCGCGGCGCTAAGACGAGAACCACATGTGCAAAAGGGATCGCCCTCAATCCGCGAAGATCTTGCAATTGTTTAAAACGAATGCGCGCGGCGCTAGGGCGAGAACCACATTTTGAGAAGGAACCGCCCTCAATCCATGAATGTTTTGCAATTTTTTAAAACGAATGCGCGCGGCACTAAAGCGAAAACCACATTTTGAAAACGACTCGCCCTCAATCCGTGAAGCGCTTGCAGAATTTCAAGACGAATGCGCGCGGCGCTGAGGCGAGAGCCACATCTTGAAAACGACCCGCCCTCCATTTTTGGAAGTGTTATCATTTTTGAAGCTTCCGGGTCATACATGGTGAGGAAGTCTCAGGCGAAACGCCCAGCGCGCACTAAAAACTGGCCTCGGGGCGCGACATGGAGAAATTATTTATAAGGAGAAGGAATGGAGGAGGAACATCGGACATGGATTGGCCTGTCTCCAAACACGCCGGTCCGAGAAGAGAAAAGGAGAAACAAACAGTGCGAGCGGTATGGAAGAAAAGACAACGTGCGGGCGAATGCGCCCGAACATGAAACACACCGGCTATACGGCCTATCCAGTCGAACAAGGCCCAGCATGCAGCAGCAAAGGGTAGCCTTTTTCTCTCGTAACGAATATAGTCATGGCGACAACACCAACACAACAAATTCAACCGAATCAGCACGACAGTCGTCATCCATCCCCACGGGGACGGCAATGCGCCGCGCGCGTTAAATATGCGTGACCAAGGCTAATCTGTGGCCCGCTGCGGTGGGATCCCCAAGTTCACTGTGCATCCTGAGGGTGGCGGGAACTACAGGGCGCGAGACGACACTTCGCTTCGGGTCAAGTCCGCCGAGCTGGCGCCCGAGACGATCGCGGCCTGTGGCAGAGGCCGCCCTTCCTTTGCAACGGGCCGCAAGGGTTGCTACATGTGGTGACGAACGCGGACCACATAATTACACAAATATGTGCATGCCCGTCTTGAAAACCACATGCCCCGCACCATGAGGGGCATCACAGGGGTCTCTCGCCCCACGTGTGCGGCGACTGGACGGCCAGCGCGCCACGCATCGGGAACGCTGGACGTCTGGGTCCTGGGCCAGCTCATAAGGCACAGCTCGAGGAGGGAATACCAGGGAGAGAGGGGAGGGAGGAGGGGGGCAAAAAGTGGAACCCCTTCGTCTTCGACCCCGCGTTCGCCCTCCCCCGCCCCCCCCCCTTCCCGCCCCTCCCCCCAATTTCAAAGTTGGCTTCGGCCTCCCGGAGGCCCTGGGGGGTCCACTTTTTTTGTCCTCTCACGCCTGTGCTACCGAATGCTTGGGGCCATCTTTGAAATTGGGGGGAGGGGGGGGCGCTGTGTCAAGGGTTCCACTTTTTTGTCCATCAACGGGAGGAGGGGGGGAGGGGCCCGGCGGGGGATACCTTCACCCTGAAGCTAATCGAGGGCTCGGGCGGCCATGTGAGCCAAACACATGCCCACATGCTCGACTACTGTACGGGAGCGGGACAAACGCTCCATGGCAGCCAGACTTTCAGGATGCAGCGGTGCCCCACGGCGAGCGAAATCATCACCGCGCGTACTTCCTAAGGTCATGCATGCCGCCTGGGCGGGCGACACGACATCAAGATGTGCCGTTGCCCTGCGCACACCTATTGCATTATATTTGAAATCTCTGGATTTTCATGGATGCGCCTCCAGATTTCGGCATGGGGAGCCCATCCAGAAGTAGAGCGGACCTCAGGGGTCGCCCATGTATCTAGTACCCGTCGGCAATCACCACAATGCTCGCAGCGCCCATGCTGATCAGGTATAAGATGAATCAAACCAAACCAATAGTGCGAGAGACTCTTGCCCCAAAACACACTGATGTAATCCACGGTAGGCTCCGTAAGCGGCCACTCGAACATATCCACTAAGGCCTCACGGAGACGGCCGAACAAACACACATCGAAAGGCACGCGGGGACGGCCCACAGAGGCCAGAGCCATCACCAACAACGGGCGATTGTAACAGGGGCTGATCGGGACCACCAAGGAAATCCGATTGGACCTCGAAGCGAGGAAAGGGGTGGGGAGAAGCCGCTCAGGGTCAGGCACCAAGTCTGAGTGCCACAGTGGATTCGCTGGGAACCTCTCTCGAACTCGTTCCACATGCGGCGGCAATCCACATGTGCGCCGATCTTCCCACACAACTGGACAGCTCCCGATCAAATCGTGTAGAACCGACGTCTCATGAGACGACGCATGCCCACGCACTGAGCATTCCAAGGACACGTGGAGCGACTAAATCAACACTGCGCGCAAGCAGGTACTCTGTTGCCCACCCAATCAATGAACGAACTTCCTCAGCGGCGGCAGGTATGGGGGGCCGTCCGAGTGAGCAAGACGAGGGTGATTGGGGTACACTCTGGCACCAAGCCCATACATCTGCACCCCAAGATACGGTGAAGGCATTGGAGTCCAGGGTCTGGAAGCCAGTGAAACTCCGATCGTGGAGCGGCCATGTATGACACTGCCGCCCTCATCAGATAAGGGATCTCCCAAGGTCTGAAGCCTCCTGGGCCCATGCCTAAAGAATGCCCCACCGTGCAGCCATCGGTCCGTAGCCATTTTGGCTCAAGTTGCCATCTTCTCGAGGTGGTACAGTGACCAGATGTGCTCGCGCCACGGGCAGGCAGGCGGCATAGCCTCACCCGTCGGCCCTTGCTCTTTGGGCCACACGCGGCCGACATCGCTCGATCCTCGCGGGGGCCGCCTGGCGCCGCGAGTCTCTCACCCAGCCACCATTCCAGAGCTCGCTCAGCCATGTCGCCGACTGCGGGGCGCTCGTGGGTTCAGTGCGAGAAGTGTGGCCCTCGTTCTTGGGCTCCAATTGCTAGCAGTAAGCAGTGGTGTCATATATTCGGCCTCTACTACGAGAAGCCCAACAACAGCGAGTCTCAGCGCAGCGGCTTCAGCCGCAAGGGGTGTGGCAAGGACGACGGTGGCAATGGAGGCGTGGGTGGTGCTCGTCAGCCAGGGCTCACGCAACAATAGCTGGACGCCATCGCCAAGCAGGTCACCGCCAGCATCGCAGCAGCTGCCGCCACGACGCAGTCGAAGGGGGCAAGCGTACCAGCCAATGGCACACCGCCAGGCAACGGCAAAGGCACTCGCGTCACAGGCAAGGGCAAGGACGCAGCGGCCACTCAGGCCACAGAGGGTGCCGACTCAGACGGCAAGAGGATTGTTCAACCCGAGGTGCTCGTCAATACCTACCAGCAGATGGACCCGACTGTCATGCCAGACGTGGCCACCAAGCTGCAGCAGGCAAGGGCCGACTTGGTGGCGGCTCGAGCCACGCAAGCGGCCAACCTGCCGCCAGCGCAGCGCATGGCGCGGTGCCACACGCGGGTGCAGCGGGCGGCCGAGAAGGTCGACAAGATCAAGATGCATATTGCAGAATTGTACAAGGTCAAGGAGGAGCTGCACGCGCAGCTCGAAGCCAACGACAAGGCCATGCAAGAGCAGCAGCAGAGGCTCGAGCAGGCCCAGGAGGATCAGCAGCGCGAAGAGCAGGATGCCAAGACGGTCTGGGTGGACACGGCGCCAGATGAAGGTCCAGGCTCCCTCGCGGAGTTCCCCGAGGCATCCAAGGCCAAGATCGCCGAGGCCGCGACGAAGTTCGCTGGCAACGCCGAGTTCCAGACGTTCATTGAGGAGATGTCCAACATGGTGGGAGCGCTGCCGGAGAAAGCCAGCAGCTCGCCACCACTTTCGACATCGATTACGGGCACCCCCATATTTGATTGAGAATTCTTCAAGACGGAGGTGGAGGCTCTCGCCAAACACGCGCCGAAGGAAGAGCTCGAAGCATTGCGGGGGGCGCGGGCCAAGTGCCAGGACCAGCAGACAGCTGCCGCTCGGCAGCTTGCCTGCCAGCCAGGCAAAGGGCCTGGCTCAGGCCGCGGTCATGCATCGCACGGGTGACGGCCGCCATTCCACAACGGGAACCAGGGCAGCATCGGCGAAGCGCTGTGTTACGGTGACCACCAGTGCTGCCCCGACTGAGGCTGACAATCAGCCAGCTTTGCACGGGCCATTCCCAGCGGCAGCCGCTGCTGGGAAGGCCACTTCCACTTCTCTCCATCCCTCCTCTCCCAAGTGCACCCGTTCTGAAACTTTTAACGGGTCCTCTTGGGGAACCCTCAAGAAGCGCCTCCTTGAGCTAGCGTGGGGTCCCATCAAAGTCTTGTTTGCTCAGGAGGTTCACCTGGTTTCGGATGTAAGTATCGCCGAGGCCTCGGATTGGGCCATGCGGCACGGCTGGAAGAGTTGTTGGGCCCCGTCAGTTGCCGTTACCAATTTTGCCCCCTCTACGAATGGTTTTGGGGAGATAGGTACGTCTGCTGGGGTGGCTATCTTCGTTACCGGCGATCTTGGATGCTACACCTTGGAGGAACCCGTGGGGCCACCTGGAAGAGTTGTGGTGCCTCATCGAGTCCTTGGAGTCGTTGTGGAGTTCCCCCAGGCCTCGGGCATCCTCTGTCTGTCTCTCTACGGGCACGTGAGTCAAGGCTTCTCGCCAGAAAACGTCGCGATCGTGGAGGCCGTGTCTGGAATAGTCAAGGTTTCTCGGATGCAGTATATTATTGCAGGCGACTTCAATCTCACTCAAGACCAGCTGGAGTACTCGGAGTACTGCGCCTTTATCAAAGGTCAGCTGTTTGCGCCAACATGCTCGATGGGCACATGCACTGCGAGCAACACAGTAATATATATATATATGTTCATTGTTGAGAAGCAACTCGCTAACGCAGTGAGAGCTATCGATGTCGATTTCGATTGGGGTACCAAGCCGCACTTCCCCGTTGTCTTGGACCTGCCTCCCGCCTTTGGAGAGGTCTGGGTCCTTCTATGTCCTGCCATTCCCTCCCTCCCCTCCTCGTTCGATAAGAATGAGGCGGGTGATGATATCACCCACCCCAGTAACGCTTCCTGGAGCGAGGTTGCTGAACTTTTAAGTAGCCTGATTTCGGATATAGGTAGACAGCCCAAGGCAGTGCTGCGCGATGGCTTCGCCGTGGCCTACGCGCACTGGGCCGACGCTGCGGTGCAGGAGATTGCCCAGCGCACGGGGAGCAAGTTACTCAAGCCAGGTCTTAGAGAACGCGCCCCGCAGCCCATGCTCAGGCCAGTCAGAAAACAGGATGAAGCCAACGAGCAGTGCGGCCTCCTCCCGTCAGCGTCGAGCTGGATTGCTGCTAGACTTCTGAGCCTGTCAAGATTACTCGAGGAGGAGGAGGATTGGACGAAGAGAGCGAGGATTGGCAGGATCACCAGGCCAGCTGTCTACGACCTCGTTTCACGTTTAGTGAGCGCCACCCCGCAGCACGTGGTGCAGCATGAGAGCGCGCGCACGCTTCTTGCAGATGTTCAACGCTTCCTTAAGCCGATGCTCGCAGCCACCAGAGGGGGCCCCTACGGCTGTGATAAGTTGGCAGCTACTATTGCGCAGCTGCACACGTTCAAGGCGAGGTCCGATATGCTCGCCAAGAAAGTTCTCTCAGATGTGAGGTCAGCCAACGCCAGGCCCTGGAAAGAGTGGGTTGACAGCGCCCTCGACAAGGGGGCCAAAGCTGCACGCAAGTTCGTAAAAAGAGCGCACCAAGTGGGAGCCTGACACTGCTGTGATTGAGGGCAAGCTCACGGCCGCCACGGACGCTCTCAGCGACCTCTCTAAGAGCTACGGCAAGGCCTCTGCAGTCTCCCTCGACGGGTTCCCCATGAGGCACCTTAGTGCGTTATCTGAAGAGGCCCTGGAGGCCTTCGCCAGAACTATTTGCGTTTCGGAGGTCCTTGGTGAGCTGCCTGGGCAACTCCAATGGGTCCTTGTGGCGCTCCTTCGGGAAGCTCAAGGTGGCTACAGACCCATAGGTATATTCCCCACGATGTACATAATAGTCGGCAAGGTGCGCCTGCCCTTCGCGCAGGACTGGATTGCCAAGCGCGACTACTCCTGGTTCGCATGCGGAGCAGGGGGATCCCCTATAGACGTAGTATGGCGGCAGAGTCTCAGAGCTGAAGGAGCCGTTGCTGGAGGAGGGGCCTCGGCTGGTGTTCTCTGGGACATGGACGCCTTCTTTGAGCGGTTGGAGAGGGGCAAGCTTCGAGCACGTGCGCTAGCTTTGAATTTCCCTGAGACGCTCCTCGCCTTTCACCTAGAAGGTCATGGCCCCCTGGCGCCACATAGCGTGGAAGCGTTGTGTGGCACAGCCGCTTGCAGCGACAAACGGCATCGTGGCTGGCTGTTCGTTCTGCATCCTCTATGTTAGGATCTACTGTTTCCAGGCCTTCCTGCGAGTCACTTCGCTCGCTCGGCAGTCTTTTTCGATTTCTATGTGGGCGACTTGTCCCTCACTTGCCACGACGCCACGGCCAGGGTTCTCAAGCTTATTATAAGCGCTGCCAAGGAGCTTGCCCGTCCCATCGAGATAGACCCCATGTCAAGATAGCTGTTCACGAAGGAGCTGCCGTCGCGTCGTCGGTGTCGTTAGCCAGGCTTCTGACATCCGCCCTCGGGAAGGCGGGGGCCAATCTCCAGGCGGTAGCCACCATTGGGGATGCGATTTCACGGCGGGCCAGTCCTTCGGTTGTAACGGAGCGGCTGCCAAGCGCAAAGTCAGGCTGAGGACTGCCGTGATCCGAGGCCAACGCCTGCGTAAGCTCACCGCCACCGCTGGTCAAAGATGTCGGGAAATTGTCGCGACGGGCCTCTTGCCCGCTGGGGCTTCCGGGGCTGCTATTGATGGGCTCAGTAACAAATCCTTGTATCGGTTGCAGTCTTTGGGGATGGCCCAAATCACGCCCTGTTCGTCTAAGAAATCCAGGAGCGCGGCCTTTGCCATGACGGGGTCCAGGGCCGATCGTTGGGCCCTGGGGCCAGTCCTCAGGTGGGCCCAGGAAGTTTGGCACACCGCTCTCGGCAAGTTTGCGACTCCAGGGACCATGGGGCTTCTCGAACTCAAGGAGATATATCAACATGTTCAGCCAGTGGGACACTCGCGTTATAACGCCGTGCGAGGACTTCTCAGCGCGGCTGCACACGCTCTTCACATAATTGATTGGTGCTTTACGTCGTCTTTCACCCTGCGGGATGATTTCGGCAAGACGATCAGGCTCACCGACCCGTCGCCGCCCCTGCTTTCCGACCAGCTGCAGGGAGGATGTCAAAGGAGACGGGAAATACTAGCCACTGAAACTATCCCCAGCCCAACCCCCCTTAAGAGAGCCTGTTTTGACATTGTTCGATCCTTGCTTTCACCGAAAAGCAGGAAGCTCGCGCCTAGGTGCAAGGCCATTCTTCAAACGCTGGTGGTCCAGGGGTGGTGGACCGAAGAAAAGCTTTCTCACTTAGGATATGACGTGCCTAACGTCTATCCGTTATGCCGGGCTTTCGGGGGCACCCTCCACCATCGCCTCTATCGCTGCCAGCACCCAGAGGTGGAAATCCTCAGGACTGAATTGCTGCCGCCAGAAGTGCTTCGAGCCGCGCTGGAGGCGCCAGAGAATAGCCCCCTGTACTGCTACGGAGTATTCGAGCACCCAGGGGAGCAGCACGAATATTTTCCGCTGCCAAGTCAAGATCTCATTGTACGATTTGTGAGGCACGACGGTCAGCCAGACACGGCACACGACTTCGGGGGGCTCACGGGGACCGACGGGTCGTGCACCAAGACAGGCATTGCGGAGTTTGGACAGAGCGACGTTTTCGGTAGTGGCTTACAGTACTGACGGGGCCCCCGAGGCCTCATTTTACGGAGCTGTTGGCGCCAACATCCCCCAGACCTCCCAGGCTGGGGAACACATGGGCTTCCTGGTGCTCCAGGAGGCCCTCGCGAAACCCTCGAAGACTTGGGTGGTCTGCAAAGCGGCCCTTGATCAGCATGCTAGGCCACTGCCAATTCGTCTCAGTAGTAAGTTAAAGTATTCAGGCCTGCACAAGCTTGCGCTTGCTCAAGACAGTAGACACCATTTGCAGCAGGCCATCAAGATAAAGAGTCATCAAGGTATCGAAGCTCTGGCTGGAGAGGCCAAGCTAGCAGCTGAAATCAATGCGGCAGCCGACGCCACAGCCAAAGCGGCCTGTGCCTCATGCCACCCATCTTTCAACCCAGCAGCGCTGCAGGAGTTGCAGCGCACAGTCGAGGCCGCCAGAGCTGTTGCCGTCTATGCACCGAGAGTTCTCGCCCTTTGCCAAAGGAGTAGGCGCAAGAGCGAGAGAGCCGTGCTGCCCTCTAAGGTACAGGCTTGCGGTGTCGTGCACGCTTGGGAGGTTCTCGACGGGCCTGTACCTTGCAGGTGCTCGGCCTGTTTTACGTTTGCCCGGCCATATGAAGCAGCAGTGGCCCGCGAGCGGCAAGCTTGCCGTCCACTCGAGAGCGCCTTCAGGAAGGGATTGGAGGCCATTCATGCTTCACACCAGATGGCGATTGCGGGCTTTCCAGACGCGCCCATTCTTTTCTGTCTTGTCTGTGGGCGCTACACCCAGTATGTGATCAGAGTTCTGCCTAGCAAATGCCCAGCCAAGCCCCCCCGAAACAGGGGGCGCATCAACCGACTTCTTGCTGGCAAGCATCCCTCATCGAGTGCCACTATGTCAGCACCAGAGCGGTGCAACACCGCTGATACTCAGAGGCAGCAGCGACAGCAGCGAGAGCGGGTGGCAACTCGACTAGCGTCGAAGCCGCCGTCGCCAGTGCAGCACGTTGTTCCTCGCCCGCAAAGGAGCGAGGCCAGACTGTCGCGTCTGCTTGCGAGGTCAAGAGACTCTGACTAGGCCCGTCCTAACCCACTACCGACCTCGGGCGGCATGCTGTGGGCCTGTGAGGGGCTGGCCACCCCAGAGGAGGGTGAACTCGGCCATAGCTGCTTGCGACTGGCCTGTAGTAAGGAAAAAACACCGTACAGTCATCGGCCTTACCTAAGGAACGATCAATAAGGAACGAAACCCTTTTTTTCCCAAGGAATAATGCATACTGTAAGGAACGAAAAGCAGTACACATCGCATAAGGAACGATGAATAACGCACGCGAGCCTGAGGAGAGACCGAGCCCCTTGTTAAAAGCTGGCGTTCCTGATTCGAACCGCTCGCCGTATAACGACAGGAACGTCCCGATAGGGAGGCGCGCTCCACGTCAACATTGTACCCCCCAGGGGGCGCCCATGCGGACGTCGGAGAGCGGCGCGCTGGCCGAGGCGCAGCAACGTGGCGACAGGGCCGGCTGCTTGGCGTCGCACGCCGCGGACGCCGCCTCCGCCGCCCGCGGGCCGCTCCGGCTGCTCAAGACGGAAATCTCCCGCCTCTAGACGAGCACCTTCCGCTACTCGCAAAGTAGCTACTCGCAAATGGCCTGGATCCGCCGCGGGGAATCTACGGTCGGACTTGCCTGGAGAGGACGCGCGAGAGGACAAAAGACCCTTTCCGAGGGGCACGCTGCCAAGGGAATGCAGGAGGCATGGGCCGCGAGACGCAGGACGCAAAGGTGCCCTTGACCAGGCAGGGTCGACCTACTAATCAGGGCCGACTGCACTAGACATGGCATCGAAACATACATGTGTTTTTCGGACGTCTGCGAGTAGGCAGTTTGCGAGCAGCGGAACGCGCTCGGTGAGCCCCCGAGCGCTCGCCCTCTCCCCTCCCCCGCGGGGGGGCCCGAGGAGGAGGGGGGGGGGGCGGAGGGGCAGCGGAAGCAGGGGCAGGAGCAGGATGAGGAGGAGGAGGAGGAGGAGGAGGAGGGGCACCACGCCCGTTAGCGCAGCAGCTCCTGGGTGATGATGGACCGAAAGGCGCCCTGCCTCGCTCTGGCGCGGATGGCCTGGGCGGCAAAGGAGCGGGCCGCTGGCCTCCCCTGGGCTCCGCGCCTGCGGGACGCGTCAAAGGCGGCGAACAAAATATCGATGGCGACGACGCACGCATGCACGTGCTCTCGTGCAGAACGAGGGGCTGCGGCCTCCGAGATCGGATGCATCTGATCCGACGAGGGCCAAAGATGAGGCAGAAAACAAGCGAGAGGGTCAGAGCTCCAATCTTCAGGCAGCTGTGGGATAGCGACCTAACGACGGGAGAAGAGACTGGAGAGCTGAAGTAGTGGCGGATGTTTTCGGCGCGTAATTGAAGGCATCCAAACACACATCGACCCGTCGCCTGCCTGAAACGACGGGTGGTCGGCCAAGCATTGAAAATGGTTTTTAGGTGGGGTGTATTCAGGAAGCCTGGCAGTCGCTTGGCCATCGCGTTTCGGCTGAGATATACAAGATCAGCATCAGCACGAGTCGCACCTTTATTCCAATACCGTAGTCGGGCTAGCAAGAGTTGATTGGGAGCAATAAGAGGGCGTTTTTTCTTTTCAGCCGAAATGTCGAGATATGTTTTTGCAACTGCTTGGGGAGGGGGGGCTGTCAACTGGAGCATGAGACATAGCAAGGTACTGTTCGTATTCACGACGCATATGGTACATGATGGACTGCTTATAATATGGATGAAGGGAGTGAGCAGGAGCATATTCATCACCGTTCTGGGCGTCCAGGTAGAGCTGGTGGATCTGGGCAAATTTCTGACTCCGAAGGGCAGTTCTGAGCATAGCCGCACGACGCAGGACTGAGACACTTCGACATTCCACTGGGAGCCCGAGATCACGGAGGTAGAACATCGCCTTCGGAGGGAACGCATGCCTCGGCGACCGCGGCAGAAGCTGATGCGCCTCGCGTTCTTGCCTAAGAAGCCGACGGCAAGGAGGAAACAATTGGCCCACATGAGACACTACTGGAAGGGCATAAACATTATACGCCTGAGTGGACTGAGCGAAACTCTGACCTAGCCTTCGAACATCTTCGGCGCGGGCCCTGAGTTTTCGGCCCACAGCGGCCCAGGCATCAACGGAGTCTAGTCCCACCGCGACACCCGGGAGGGCCCCCGAGCGCTTTATCTGGAATTGAAAGACGTGCAGACCATGGACGCGGAACGCGTCGACGACTTTCTCGTCGTCGTCTTGATTCAAGACGACAGTCGCACACTTCTTCAGATTCAGGTGCCTGCCTGTGACCTTCCACGCAACGCATAACCTCTTTATGATGAAGAGTAGCGACTTATAGAGATGACGAGCGACAAGAAATATCATCAGCAAGTGCAACGAGCTCAAATTCAAGGCGGGGCCGAAGTTGGAGCAGACATCGTAGAACTGGATCCAGGATAAGAGCAAAGAGGACGCCGCTCAATGGGCACCCCTGTTTCATGCCCCGAGACGCCCAGTATCCCTGGCTTCCATTTCCCATGGAGATTTCGGTCCAGACATCCTGGTACAAAGCGGCGATGGCGGCCGCCATGAAACACGGCAGACACATCTTAGCAAGCACAAACAGGATCCAGTTCTGGAACACACCTGGGAACGCGTTCTTGAAATCGAAGAGCGCGAATCCACACCCTTCTTCATGCAGCGCTGCGCACCAGAGAGTCAGCATGCCATCTAATGAGATGATGTTATCGTTCATGAGCCTACCTTTAACGAAGCCACGCTGAATCTCGTCGCAGGTGTCGGCTGCAACCTCATTCAAAACTGAAGCGATCGACGCGCTCAGCAGCTTGTTGTCCGTGTTGGACAGTGACAAAGGACGCGTCGTGCCTGGGCCTCTCACCTCCTCCCCTTGGTCCACCACCTCCCCCTTCGGCAAGAAAACGGCACGGCAATACTTGAAGTCGTCCTCCAGGCGGCCTCCAGCTAAGAAAAACTCGTAATTCTGGTAGAGGGAGGGCTGCTTTTGTTTCGGGTCCAGAGTTTTGCCCAGCCGAGTACAGGGCCCCGTCGGGGCCAGCTGCGGTGTCTTTTATCTTGGGCGCCAAAAGCCACAGGAACTGATCTTTGCTTAGCTTCCAAACGAATCGCCGGTAGGTTTTATTCGTGAACTGGTCGGTCGAACCGTCGACGCGCTGGATGCAGCTATATAGCGGATGCTCATCCGGGGGCCCAGTAGGAGTATAACTAAACACTTGGCCCCAATGCTCGGCTGACTTCGCAGCTGCTTCGCTGGGGTCGGCGTGAACTTCGCCTTTTGGGCGCTGGGCAGCCCAGGCAGGCGCGAGGCGACGAACGCGCTTGACAGCTTGCTCAGCTTTCTCCGCCCCCCCCCCATCCAATTGCTGCAAACCCCCCCCCCCCCCCCCCCCCTCCCCCCCCGCATGCTGCGCGCGCGTAAGTTCAGCAATGTGAGCGTGGAAGGCATCATGGTCGAGCCGCGACATCGTGGCTGGGTTATAGTAGGTGAACAGATGCCTATATCCATGACAGGCACGCCACGCACGCCGCTGACTCTGAGAACGACCGGCCCGAACAAGTTTCAACATGCAGGCAGTCTTCTCTGCCTGTGACCGCGCCAGCAAGCTCTATGTGCTGTCGGGCCTGAGAGTTGGCAAGATGGAAGATGGCCCTGATTTCTTTGACCTTCGTCGGCGGGTGGGGCGAGAGCCCGATCTCCTGAATCAGCTGTTCAACGAATTCCCTGAACTTGATATGTCTGGCGACCCAGGGCGGAATGCTGGCCGTGCCGCCTTCGGGTCCTCGAGGCGGCTGCAGAGCGAGAAAGACAGGCGCATGGTCGGAAGGGCTCGCGCTCTCCGTCACTTCCCAGAAGACACCTGAGGACGGACGATGATCTAATAAGGTCGGAGTGTTCATGTTAGTGTATATGCGATCGAGTCGAGCATAACTTCGACGGCCTCGAATAACGGCTTTACGCGTAAAGGATGGCTGTTCGACTTCTGCGAATCTCGGGAACAGGGCGTCGAAGACCGTGGCGAGCCTCGACGGAGAAGGAGCAGGACTGGGAGGCGTGGGGTAGAATCTAGCTTCACCGTGCTCGTGCAAGTTGAAGTCCCCGACTATCACGCTAGTGCACTGCGACTGCGGTAGCGCCTGATAGGAGAGAGAGGTAAGGATGGTGCGAGTAAACCTTTCCGACCACTCGGGATCAAGATGAAGCGCTGTAATCTGGAGACTCCCACATGGCCCACGACAAGTCAGAGTAAGCACGCGCCCAGGAACCAGGGGGGCGGGGTCGATCTCGTCGAATTTCTCGGCGAAGTTTTTGCGAACCAGGATAACGATCCCCCCGGCGTGCTCATCCTCGATGAACGAGCCGAAGATCAGAAACCCAGGGTAATCGCGCTCCAGAGCATCGCGGCCCCCTTCCTGACCGTGGGTCTCCTGTGCAGCGATTACATCCATTCTCCTAGCAAGCCTGGTCAACGCTTTGAATTTCTTACGAACGTGGAGGAAGGAGGAATGGACAGAGTGAAGAAGAGTGCGTGCGTTCCACGAGCACACTCGCAGCACTTGAGCAAGCAAAAATAATCAAAAATGGTTTTCGGCTGGCGTCTGTAGCCGGCGAATACGAGGTCTCGTCAGTACCCCGAGACGAGCTGCAAGCTGATGCAGCACAGGTTGACGATGCGGAAGTTTGCGAGGCTGAAGTCGAGCACGTAGCGCAGAAGTCGCTGGACTCCACCACTTCGCTGCCGACGTCGAGGTCTATCTCCGCTGAGTGCGACGGTTGTGCCTCCTAGATGTAGAGGGCACGCTGGTTGACATCGGTCATGATACCCTCGATCTTCTTCATGTCCACCTGGAAGTAATCGCACGTCGTCTGATCTACGTCGAAGGCGCCTGCAGCATGGTTGAACTCGTTGAAGAGGACGAGCGGCCAGACATCCGTACCATTGGTCCAGTGGATGGAGCCCTTGTAGCCGTTGATGATGGGCTTGGAGCCTGGCACGTAGTGCAGGCTGCTGGCGAAGACCTCGATGATAGGGTCCCATGTCTTGCTCAGGGCGCGTTGCTTGGTGCGAACATCAAGTGGTAAGTCCGTGCGGGCCTTCATCGCGTGCAGCGAGCCGCCCCTCGGATCCACCCACATGTTCTGCGACCTATTGTAGAGGTCGGTGAACTCTTTGGCAAGCGCCTCGCTGGAGAAAGTGAGGCTGTATGATTGACAGGTGCGGTGAAACTGGGGCGTGACATTGTTGAGCATCACTGCGGTCAGGACCTGGTCTTTGAAGTTAGCAAAGTGCGCCTGCCTCATGGATGCGAGCACGGGCCGAGGAAAAGGCACCAATCCAGAACCTGCACGGGTCGCACTTGTAAGTTGAGGAACGCGGATTCTGACTTGCCTCACCGTCGCCTTCGACACGCCTGGACTTGGGACGCGGCAAGGTCGAGACCCTGCCAACCCATGAGTCACTGGCTCCCGCTGCCAAACCCGCCGAAGAGCTGCCAGTAGTAGTAGAGGATGCTTGCAGTGCTTGAACTGATTGCGAATGTTCTTGAAGCTGGGCATGAATGGCGGCAGTGTGCGCCGACTGGGCTTTAATCCCAGCTGTGTTCTCCCCGATGCGCTTGTTGACGGCCTCCGTGAGCACGCCGAACTGTTCAGCAAAGCTGGCTTGCATCTTGGCACCGAGATCTGACCTGCTTCTCCATCGCTGAAGCCAAGTTGGCCTGCATGGCCTGGACCAATCCCTGCAGATCGTTAGCGCCCATCTCTAGAACTGATGTGAAAGAAAATGAAATGTGTCCGCCTGGCTTTGAACCCAGGAACGCCTCGTCTGGAGAGGTTGCCGCACTCAAGTGGCCAGAATGCGCCGGAGCCCAGCCAGCACGGGGGCCGACCTTGCTCGTCCTGCTTGCCGCTGTTGGCAGTTGAGCCAAAATGGCAGCGGCGGAGGAGGAGGAGGAGGAGGAGAGAGGAAGAGGGAGGAGACGGAGGAGGAGGAAAAGGAGGAGGAGGAGGAGGAGGAGAAGGAGGAGGGAGGAGTGAGAAACCGCCCTGCCTGTCCTCCTCCCCCCTCCTGTATGCTGGCCAACGCTGTGCAGTGCCCCTGCCTCGCTGCCACGCTGGAGCGGATTGCCCGCCTCGCTGCCGACGGAAAAACTGTCCCAGGGAACATGAGACATAACCCGAGTCAGGGCCTCGTCCAAAAAGTGCCGCGGGCACAAAACCAATTCCAATGAGAAGCCAGTCGCATCAGAACCACACCCCAGTGGCATGGACGAGCGGGATTCACTATCCTGTCAAGCGCAGGGTCCATAGTCATGCAACGATGGGGCCGAGATGATAAGGCATCGCGATAGAAACATCGGAGCTCTTTGATCTTGGATGTACTCACGCCCAGAATAGAAACACAATAAGTAGCAACAGGCACGAGGCCCTGCCGAACGAGTGGACCAACAAGGCCCCCAGCCTTCCGAAGCTGCGCGGCGCGCCTAGCCCTCTGTGACAAATCTTTAAGACGCATGTTCTGGACTCTGCGAAGCAGTCCGCGCCGAGGCACCAACGTGAAATCCACTCCACAATTGCGCGCTACAGCCAGGAGTCTTCGGCGGCAAATGCGAAAGCGAAGGGTAGCCTCGACCACCGCCCGCGCGGCAGGGTCAGAACACAACAAAAAACTTATTAGCCTCTAGACACAGAGGCAGGCGATCTGGAACAATGACCGCATCAGCAAGGAGGCTACGATCGGCCCCTGGACTATCAAGAAGCGCACATCGCCGATCATGACAAACTGAACGTCGTCGGCAACAACGCTGCACTGAACATACCTGCGGAACCCAGTCTGAACATCAAACTCTGGTACGACTGTGGACCTCATCAACACGTCCGCGAACGCACAAAACGATAACAACGATAACAACGATAACGATAACAACGATCAAAACGATCACAACGATCACAACGATCAACGATAACAACGATCAACGATCACAACGGTCGACAACGATTCAACCCGGGCGCTCGTTCCCGTCTCGGCCCCTGGGGCCCCGAGGCCGCCACAGAAGACGACCAGAGAGGATAGGAATCTCCAGTGGCGCACGGACCGAAGAACATCACGACGTCGGGGGTCTGGGAACCTGGCCCGTTGCAGGCACGTTCGGAAGAAGCAGATCGACATCCGAAGGAGGAGCGCGGTGACAAACAAGCACGTGCGGATGTAGACCTGCGCTTCAAGCAGACTGGTATCTGAAAACTTAAAAAACAAGGCAGATTCTAATACATAGGATCTTTTCTAAACATATGATTCTTAGTACATGATTAGTTTACGAATGAATTTATGCATGAACTCATCGTTGTTTTTAACACTAAATTCCTGCATTTGTACTACGTGATCCGCACGCGGAGCATGTATAAAACACGGCACTGTAGCCTCAGCGTCTGACACGAGGGACATCTGAACCTGCCCGCCAGCCGACCTGCTGGCCAGCCCACCCGCCTCTCCCCCCATCGCCCTTTCCTAGACCTCCGGCGCCTCGAACACGTCGCACCAACTGTAACTCGGTCGAGCCCCTGCCTTCGACTCGACGTCCCGGCCCCCCCCCTTTCCTCGGGGGCGGCTAAGAGGGGGGGCGTCCAAGAGGGGGGGGGCAAATCATGGCCGGCAGCATGTGCGCGGTCCAGGGGGGGGGGCCTGGGGACTCATTGAAATAAGAAGGGGCGCCATGAAACCTGGGGAGATATCATGGCCCCCGCCATGAGATCCACCCCACCCCTAATCATCAACCCCCTCTTTGCCGCTCCCGACTTCCGCGAGGCATCGCCACCGCCGGTGTCCTTCGCGAAGAGCACGGGGTCCTCCCGACTGCCAAGGTTCTCGACGGGCCCCCGGGCCAGCCAGGACGGCCGAAGGCAGCCCACGGTGGAAACGGCGAGGCTGAAGCCGAGGAGAAGTGATGCTGCTGACTATGATGATAATGATGGTGATGATGGTGATGATGATCATGATAATGATGCGGATGCCGATGATGATGATGCTGCTGCTGATGAGGATGGCAGTGACGATAATGATTATATATGTGATGACGGCGAAGGTGATAAGATAAGGATGCTGATGTTGATTATGATGATGATGACAAATATGATGGTGGTGGTAACGACTATGGCGATGCTGATGACGATACTAATTATGATGATGATGATGATGATGGTGATGACGCTACTTGGTGACGGCGATGATCATTCTGAGGTCGATGGTGATGGTGATGCTGCTGTTGTTGGTGATGATGATGCTGATGATGATGATAATGATGACGATGCTGATGGCGATGATGCTGAGGATAATGATGATGATGATGTTGACGGTGGTGTTGATGCTGATGGTGATAATGGTGATGATGATGATGATAACTTGAATCATCATCAGCATCAACATCACCATTATCGACATCATCATCATCATCACCACCACCATCATCACCATCATCATCACCATCACCATCACCATCACCATCACCATCACCATCACCATCACCATCACCATCACCATCACCATCACCATCACCATCACCATCACCATCACCATCACCATCATCATCATCATCATCATCATCATCATCATCATCATCATCATCATCATCATCATCATCATCATCCGTAGCCACTTTGGATCAAGCCACCGTGCCAGCTTCCCTCGGGCGGCGGGAGCAACATGGGATGGCACGGGCGGTTGCCCCTCCCCGGGTGGCCACCGATAGGGGTTAGCAGCGGCTCCAGCGCGGAGCGGAGGCGCCGACGCCAGGACAGTCGGCGATGGGCGCGGTGGTCGGCCGACGCCCTCATCCAGGAGTTGCAGCGCGAGGTCAAATTCTGGCACGGCCGCCACGGGCGGCTGCTGGAGGCGCTAGCGGCGAGGTGGCCGAGCGCCTGGAGGTCGTGGCAGTTCACCTCCAAGCCATGCTGCAGGGCGCCAGGCTGGCACCAGTCGCCATGCTGCGGCGGAACGTGGCGCTGCACGCCAGGGACGCCCCTCTGCCGCTGGCGACGGCGGCGCCACGGCGGGTGCGCAAGGCCCAGAAGGGGCCGCTGCCGGCGGCGGCCGCGCACAGCGAGACGCCAACCACCACACTGCCAGCGGTGCCGCACTTCCCCGCGCTCGGCGCCGAGGCCCAGGCAGGGGCTCGGGGCGCACGCGCGGGGGCCCGGGCGTCCCTGGCGTGGAACACGATGACGAGCACGACGGGGAGCAGGACGCGGGGCAATTCGACGAGGACGTGTTCAGCGTCGATGGCACTGGCCCGCCAGACCCTGCGAGTGACACCGAGGAGTACACAAGGAGAACGAGAGCGTGGACGGGTTGACCGCGGCGGCGGGGGCGGCGCGCAACGACGCCGCATCCGCAACGCCGCCTCCCCTATCCACGTGCATGGAAGACTGCTGGGAGCGCCTGGGGGCCGTGCGGGAAAACCTCACGGCCATCATGGAGGGCGACTTCGCTAACGGGCAGGGCATGATTTTGACGTGCATCGAGCGGCTAGGGAGCATGCTCAGGGAGGCCCAGACGATATTGGGCGACGTGGAGGCCGAGCTGGAGCGCCACGATATCCAGGAAGTGATCTCATTCGAGTGGCGGCAGATCGTCCTGGCAGAGGGCCGAGGCATGAGCAGCAGGCGCTGCAGATGAGTGGGCGTTGGGCCTGGCAATGCGTTGTGGGCTCGTCTGTGCAGCGCTTCCCTAGGCCGCCGCGTGGCGCGCGCCACGCCCCCTTTTCCATACCCCTTACATGTGTGGCACTGTTCATATCGCGGGCCGAGGTGTGGGAGCTGGGGGGCAATTGTTTGTCGTGGCAGTGTGGAGTACGTTGGAGGGAGGCGCAGCTTTTAGGCACGCCAGTGAGGCAGCAGGAGGTGAGCGTTCGCGATACGGCAACGAGTCACTTTCGGAGAGCGCGATCATCATCACCATCGTCATACCATCATCATCATCACCATCATCATCATCATCATCATCATCGTCATCATCAGCATCATAATCAGCATCAGCATCATCGTCATCATCAACATCATCATCATCATCATCATCATGACGATTTACTCGGCCAATAGAATGATATCCCAAAGCGATTCATCACAGGCTTGCCACCAATCAGCATAGAATTCTGCTCTATGTCCCAGGGCGGGTCGGGTCGGGAACAACAGAAGGCTATGAGCACGGGACGGGCGAGGCACGCGACGCTCTTGCTACCTTCCCCCTACTCGTGTCGCTGTACGGCCCCCGTGTCGTCATTACTGTGCACGCACTCTCATGACGATTTACTCGGCCAATAGAATGATATCCCAAAACGATTCATCACAGGCTTGCCACCAATCAGCATAGAATTCTACTGCTCTATGTCCCCAATCACCATCAAGAGGTCCCGAATCTCAGAGATGTTTTGGCCTCGGGCGGGCACGGGAGGGAGAGGCCGTTCCTGGAGGGGTGGTCGTCCGTGCCACCGAACTCGCAACATGCTTCTGGGCCCACAGGGATCTGAAGGTGCCGGCGATAGCAGTGCAGAGACGAGGAGGGTAATGTTTAGCCTGGTCGGTCTTCCATCCAGCGGTTTCTTTTCCTTCAAGATGTTCGTGGGGTTTTCCTGACCTAGAGCATATACCCGATTTGCCCACACATCTTCGGTTCAGTAAAGAGTCGTCGAGATCTGAGGACATCAAGATGGCGGTCCGCTTCCGGAAGTCAGTCCCGAACTGGCACTGGTCGAAAACAACAGACTTAGCGAACTTGGATTCTGCGATGTGCTTCAAAAGCGGGACGAGCCAGAGCATAGAAGAGGCGGGGTTCTCGATCATGAACGGTACTCCATATCGAATAGCTTGCCGAACGAGTTTGCATGTTGCTTTAGCGAGCCGGTTGCCTTCGAAACAGACCTGCTTATCTAGATCCGAGAGGTTGGAAAAGCCCCAGATACACTCAGGAGAACGAACAGCACTCGGCATAGGTGAGGATGGAGGTGCTCTTCTGGCTATACTGAATGAGCGGCATGGCGTAGCCACGAATATTCCCTGCACGCGGCCCGAGCGGATCAACTTCAGAAGTGCCTTTATCACTCCAGGCGCAAAAATGTCGATCTCAAGCTCGAGCTCTATCTCTAGCGACGAGATGCCACACCTCGCCACCGCCTTGCCGACTCCCTCGGAACCAGCGAAGATGTCGAGGAAGATGTCGCCTCGCTCCAGCCAGGCGGTCGGGGTGCGCTCACCGCGCCGAGGAGGATGTCTCCAAGGTGCGCCGTGCAGAGCCTGAGGTACTCCTGGACGCTGTCGTCTAGGCCCACGAGCAGGGAGTTGACTTTGCTGGACTTCTCGTACCTGATGAGAGAGCTCATGCTGGCCCAGCGCCCGCGACGCTGGACCTCCACCTGAGACCTCCTGCCCGTGATGACGTCCCACGACGGGCCTGCGCGCCGAAGGCTGTAGGGGGCGATCCCCAGGCCCTCGAGCCGGCACACCTTGAGCGCCTTCGCGATCATGGCCCCGAACTCCGCCTGTGTGAAGCCCCACAGCGGGTCGCTCGCCCCCTTCTTCTGGCGGTGCAGCTCGAAGAAGTGGCCGAGGAACTGCAGGTTCTCGTGGTCCATCGTCGCGTTGTCGTCGTAGACGCCCGTCTTGGTGGGGCCTCCGTTGCTGTCCGAAGGCCCCAGGATCAGCGACCACTTCTGGTACTCTGGCCCGTGGCCAAGCGCGGGTGGGACGACGTCCCGAACGCGGAGCCCACACAACTCCCCTGGCCGCAAGTAGGCGCTCAGCGCGACCAGCACGGCCACCGCCATGTCCGTGCGGCCCAGGAGGTGGAGCGCCACAGCCAGGCCACAGATCGTCGGGCACGGGGGCGGCAGGCGACCCAGCGCGGGCCTCCGGCGTCCCCAAGCCTTCAAGCACCTCTCGAACCTGGCCAGCGGCTTGGTGTTGGGCCGCTTCAGGTTCGGGTAGTAGTGGAGCACAGCGGCCTTCAGCTTCTCGCCATCGTGCTTCTTCCTGCCCTCGAGATACGCCTCGTCCGCCCAGTCCAGGAGGGCCGTCTCCAGCGAGTCCAGGGTGCTGACGTTCAAGCCCTGGCGGCGGGCGTACTCGTAGAACTCCTCGATCCGCCTGTGGTAATCCTCGACCTGGACGGGCCTTACAGCGATGCTCTCGAGGTAGGAGAGGCCTCCGCTGCTGGCCGAGCGCCGGGCGGCAGCCAGCCTTGTCGAGGTTGTGACTCGCGATCTCCGCGAGCCGCCTCGAAGCTCGGCTCGCATCGCCCGGGGCCGGGCCAGGATCGCCCGCTCGGATGGTCCTGATCCTGCGGCCTGTGGCGACTGGCCGTCCTCCAGTGGCACAGCTTCGCGCACTCGAAGGTCGGGGCGATCCAGATGCATCGCCGGCGCCGCCTCGACCCGCTGCGCCACGTTGCGCGTCGCGATGCCTGTCGCCACTCTGCGCCTCGCCGCAGGCGCCCTCGACACCACGCCCGTCATCAGGATGAGGGAGCCCAGGAGGAGGACGCCATGCATGGCCCAGAGCAGCAGCTGCAGGTTCCCAAAGCCGCGAAGGTCGATCAGCAGGATTGACTTCGGACGGGATCCAGCGGCACTGTGCCCGCAGCCCAGTGGCGAGCTGCAGCGCGGCCATCTGACGAAGCTGGCCGAGGAGGGCTGGATCGCGACAGCGGCCCTTCTGCATGGCCAGCGCGAGTGACATATTGTCCACCAGCATGAGCACCTTGCTGTGCCGCCAGCGCCCGCAGCGAACCACGTGCTTGAGGCCGAGCTTGGCGCCCCTCGCCTCCTTGACGTGAATGGCCCCCTCGTGGCAGCCGCAGGGGCGCTTGGCGACCACGGCCCACTTCGAGCCTCTGACAGAGGTGGGCGCAACGTCGGGAAAGTTCCCGATGGCAAGCCAGGCGCCATCGCTGACGCCCGCCATGAGCTTGCCGCCCCTGTCGATCGGAGGGTCGGCGTGGTCGTATCCCGCCAAGGCGACCTCACGGTGCTTGCGAAGCGGGTCCTTCTTGAACCTCCAGCGCTCGTCGTAGCTGCCCGTGATTCGTATATCTCGAGAGTCCCACTCAGCAGCACAGACGCCGAGCCCAGTATCGCAAGCATCCGTCGCAACCACCTGGTCGAGCCAGCCCGCCCCGATGTCGGCGTAAGCCCGCGGCAGGATGGCAGCGGCGATTAGGAGCTCCCTCTTGACGCTCGGCCAGAGGTTCTTTGGCTCCCCTCCGGCAGCCTCGGCAAAGGCGAAGGAGGCCGCGATGCAGGACAGGCAAGGGCGTCGAAGCAGGAAAGCGAAGCAGAGGTGCCCAAGTATGGCTCGCATCTCCCTCCCAGTGCAGCGCCCGCGTCGCGCAAGAGCATGTAGCCCAGCGTGCAGTCGCCACGCCCTGGCGGAGGATAGCCTGACCACCTTCTTGTCTCCATCGAGGTGCACTCCCACGATGTCCAAAGAAGTGCTGACCTGCTCGATCTCATGCACGTGAAAGCCTGCTTGCCGAATGCCCTCGAGAGCCTGACGGTGCATGGCCCCCACCTCGGCCTTGTCACAGCCGAAGACCCCGAAGTTGTCGACGCATGCCAACTGAACAGGCCCCCCCTCAAGCGAGGGAGGAGGTGTGCCGTCGCGAAGAAGGCGAGCTGGAGGAAGACCAGCCCGCCGCAGGAGCTCCTCATGGACGAGTTGGGCCGCCCACGTTGCCCACGAAAAGCCCATCGGTAGTGACTGCAGAGCCGGGTAGATGAGCTCGCTGGGACCAACCTTGATACCATTGATGCTCTCCACCCCCACAGCCGAGGCACGGACCGCTGGCAGAGCAAAGTACTGAGATAATTCCTCATCGATCCTGAGCTCGTGGAAGTAGTCCTTGATATCGAAGCTGGCCGAGAAGATGGTCTGGTCAGAGGCGCACTCAAGACGGCCGAGCGAGTCGCCAGTAGCAAGCTGTATTGAGTCTGGGATGTCAAATCGTATGTTGGTCCTTCGTGCATCGCATTTAAGTCGTAGTTCACCACTCTTTTTGCGAACGAAGAACAAGCCCACCTTTTCTTTGTAGGTTCGAGTCCAGCGCACCAGTCCCCTGTCACGCAGATCCCGACAAAAAAACCCTCCCACTTCGCAGGCTGTGCCTCCAGCACTGGGTCAAAGTAAAGATTGGGCAGTCCCTCGCTCTTGATACGCAATGCATACTCCTCGTCACTGAGAAGGACGGTGTCGCGAAACCGCTTAAGCTTGTGCGACGCGTCCGAGGGCAGTACGTTGTAGATGTCCACCCCGTGCAGGTCGCGGCTCGGCAGAGACGCTGAAGCCGAGCCAAACGGTGCAATGTTCCCGGCACACTCGCTGTCACCATAGCGGGTGTCTGTGCGCAGAAGCGCCGCGAGGGCTTCTTGCGGGGCGGGTCTCTCCTTAGGCAAGGGCGCAGCTTCAACCGCTTCACGGGCCAGGGCAGCAGCAGCACGCGCCTGCTCACCACCAGGACCGCTGGGCGACTTGTCACCGACGCCCCCGAGCTCGTTGAGACCCCAAATAATCTCGTCGGCGCGCCTGTCGATCCAAGCACGGCGGCAAATACGTTGTTGAACTCCACGACTGAGTGAGCTACGAGGGCCTTCCCAATCATGATGTCGAGGCAGGGGTAGAAGGTCACGCTGCCGACCGTCTGCCATGCCTTGGTCAAAAACTCGTCGCAACCCTCGCAGGAGACAGCGACTCGGCGGCGGCCCGAGTCGGGCCACGAAAATCGGAATACCGCGGGGCGGCTAGCCCTTCCTCGCAAGGGCCGCCTCCTCGCGGGCCTTGCGTCGTTCTTTCTGGATCGCAGCCTCGCCTTGGAGCTGCAACGCCACGTGCGAGGTGAGCTGCGGCGCCACGGCCGCGACCTTCCTGCCAAGGCCCTGGAAGTGCTCGCTCCCCTCGAACCGCGGCGCCTTCGGGTTGGACGTGTGCGCCTCCTCCAACAGCTGAATCCTCCTCGACAGGATCTCGAAAGAGGCGAGGGCAGACACGTCCAGTTGATCATATGTGAGCGCTGTTTCAAGAATCTCCATGAGACTGCCATGCTCGTGCTTGACTCTGTCGTTGTCCGGCACATGGCCGTCTCGCATCCACTTCTCGGTCCTGGTGCGGGGCGCGCTCCCCTGGTCTCTGATGAACTTGCACAGCCAGAGCGTCGTCCTCGGCCCAACCACCGGGAAGTCGTCGAACCGCGGCTCCTCCAGCAGCCCGACGGCATTCGTGTAGGCCCTGAACCTCTGGCCCATCTGATCGTACAGCACGGGCAGCACTCGAGCGTCAGCAGACTTGAGCGGCATTGCAGCCGCCGGCCCGTCTCCATTCGCCTGAGGTCCGAGGCCAGCTCCTGGCAGACCTGGCCCAGAAGCTCGGACCACCGCCTGCTCGAGCTCGCCCTTCCTCGAGATCAGCACATTCTTCTTGTTGCCGACCGCGATGCTCTCCAGCACGAGGGTGGCCGTCCCGAGCTTGACCAGCGCGAACTTGCCCATGACAATGGCAGTGGCGTCCACGCTCCAGTCGGACCCGATGGAGGGCGCCCCCGGCTGGCCGTCGTTGGCCACCACGATCCACTGCGTACCAGGGGCGGGGCCGCCTCCGGGCGCCACCACGGCCCCCACGGCTGCTCCAGCCCCCGGGATGGCGGCGCCTCCACCCACGGCGGCGAGCGGCACAGCAGGCGGGGCGGCCAGGCCGTCGGCCGCGGGAGCCGCGCCCACGTCTGCCACCAGAGCTCCGGCCCCGGCGCCGGCGTCAGCGGGCGGCGGTCCATCCGGCAGGCCTGTGTCGGCGGCCCAGCCATGCTGACCCACCCGATCACGCACAGCACCAGACTCAGCATCAGCAGCGTCGTCGTCGATGCCCAGCCCAGCCCTCTCCATCTGGGCGGTCGCGATCCCGTCGTCGAAGATCTGTCGCCACTCCGCCGCCGTGTGCAGCTGGCCGAGCGGCGGGAACCTGTGCAGCAGAGCGTTGGCCGGGATCGCCGGCGGCACGGACCCTTGCAGGCAAGGCTTGCCTCCGAGGGCCCGGATGTCCTCTGGATAGACATCGCCATCAGGAGTGACGATGACCCACGTCGTTCCCCGCACCTTGCAGAGCAGGAGGCGCTCGTGCCAGTACGCCTCCCCGCCCCCGTACCACACCAGAATCCAACGACCTGGGGCGATCGGCCTCGAATCGGCCATGCACCGCCGAGCGAAGCCCCGAGCCGAACAAGGCCCCCGCGCAGCAGCCCGTCGCCAGCCCGAAGAGGCCCGCGACCACCACCGCGACGATCCACCACCTGCTGAGGTCGGGCGCCGCCCTCGGGCAGCTGACCTCCGGACAGCTCGGGCAGGCCGCGCCCCCGAGCGTGCAGGGCGGGCACTGCAGGGCAGGGCACGCCAGGCTGGGAGTGCAGGTGCAGTCGGGGCACACCTGCGCGGTCTGCCCAGCCCACACCAGGCTCGCGGTGCCCGCAGTCCGCAGCGTCTCCCGCGCAGCTTCCGGCACAGCGTCCGAGAGCCACTTTGGCATGCACGGGCTGGCGTGGCGGCGGCGGGCGGCGCGCGCGAACCTCCTGAACAACAGAAGGCTATGAGCACGGGACGGGCGAGCCACGCGACGCTCTTGCTACCTTCCCCCTACTCGTGTCACTGTACGGCCCCCGTGTCGTCATTACTGTGCACGCACTCTCATCATCAGCAGCATCAACATTAGCATCAGCGTCAGCGTCAGCATCAGCATCAGCATCATCATCATCATCATCATCATCATCATCATCATCATCATCATTGTTGTCATCATCATCATCATTGGTATCATCATCATGAGCAGTCAGAGGAGGCGGAGGATCTCCATTGCCATCAGTGTCTCAGTGTCTCAGGGGGGGATGGAGAATCGATGTTCTCGGACGCTTTTGATACTTTCTGGGCCTCCTGGGGTCCCGCGTGACCACCACCTGGCGCCATCATCCCGGGGTGGGTGAAGGATAGGCAGCAGGAGAAACCATGGTCTCGCGACAAATGTGCGGCCAATCGTGGATCACCCTGCGCGCACCTCTACAGTCAGGGTTGCTTGGAGAGGACACGCGAGAGGACACAAGACCCTTCCGAGGGCCACATTGCCACAGGAATGTAAGAAGGCATGGGTCGCGAAGCTCAGGACACAAGGGTGCCCTCGATTTGGCAGGGTCGACCTACTAATCAGTCTCGACTCTACTCTTTTCGCTGGGCCACGGGCCACCCTGAAGGGCCTCCCGAGGGCACCCCGATAGTGTGAGGTCGGAAATGTCCCCCCAGGCGGATTTTGGGCGAAAAATAAAAACTACTCCAAGCATACTCCAAACATACACAACCAGAGTAAAGCACAACTTTTTTAATACGCCTCCTGTAGAGGGGACAGGCCCGACTCAACGATAGTGAAAACCATCGGGCTCTGGCCGTCCAGGCTGACCCAGGATGTGCAGTTCCTCCCTCAACAGGACGTCGCCGTCGTCCTCCGCGGCGTCCCAGCTGTCGAGGGCAAGCGCCTCATCCGTCAGCGGCGTCGCTGCCCCGCAGGATCCCCTCGCGGGGGGGCTTGCGGAAGGAACGTCCAGACTTCAATTTCGTGGGGCTACGCAGGCACTGGTGGGGGGTAGCGGAGTCAACCAGCCATTTTGACATCAACTTCAGTGGGGGTTTGTAGTGGCGTGGGCAAGTGGGGCTTGGTAGAGGGTCACAATGGCCAATGGCAGCACGCATCGGCGTCCGCGAGGACCAGTGGATGGTAGAGGCGAACTAGTGGTTGCCACCGATGCTTCTGGCGACGGTCATGGCAAGTGGGGCTAGGCAAACGCTTGTACGACGTAGTCGCGGCAACCTGGGTTCCTGGCCAATCGTCGCACCCTGCGTGCATCTAGATCAGTCTAAAATGGGCTAACTAGTGGCGTCGCGATTCTGGCGGCAACAAGGAGGTCCCTGAGGCGTGAACTCAGGAAGGTCTCTGAAACAGGAGGTCTCTGAAACAGTGGCGCGTGAACTCAGGAGGTCTCTGAAATTTCAGATTGGTTCGAAACCTCACTAAAGGTTGCCAATGGGGGTTTCGGCCGATCGGGCCGGCCACCTGGAAGACCGGGGAACATTAGTTCTACATTGGCCTCCCCTCCCAATATGGCCCCAATATGGTCCCAAGGTAGCCTCCCTGACGGCTAAGATGGCCTCCAAAACTGCCAAGATGGCCCCAAAAGGTCCCCAAGTCGGGCCAGTATACACCCAAGAATGCCCTCGACGGCCCAAGAGGTCTCCAATACGCCCAAGATGGCCTCCATGACGGCCCCGAAGCGTTTTGAGAAGGCCACCAAGACGGCCCAGAGAGGCCCCCCAAAAGGATTTTGACGGCGCATCAGACGGGCCAGGAACGCCCTAGATGTCTCCAAGAGTATCTCCAGGAAGACCCGAAGAGGCCAACATCATCGATTTTCCATATGTGCATACCCAAAAAAATCTGGGACGGCCCGAAGACGGCTCAAAACTCAAGAGGCCTCCAATACGCCCAAGATGGCCTCTAAGACGGCCCCGAAGCGTTTTGAGAAGGCCACCAAGACGGCCCAGATATGACCCCAAGACGGCTTTTGACGGCGCGTCAGAAGGGCCAGGAACGCCCTAAGACGGTCACAGAGGCCCCCGAGAAACTCCCCAACGCTCCCCAAAGGCCCACAGAGGCCCCGAAGAGTCTTTCAATATGCTCCCGGGAAGCTCCCAGGAGGTCCCAAGAGTGCCCAAAAAGGCTCCCAAGAGGCCTTATCCACCTCCCACCCTCCTCCTCCACCAAACGTTGCTCCGAAGGGTTTCCACTATGGCTCGGGGAACACATGATAGCTTGTCCAAGTTGCGGCCAAATCGTTCGGTCACACCGGCGCTTCCAACAGGCAGGGGGCGGCGGTGATTCGCCGAAAGCGTCTTCGATCTTCCGCCCCCTGTGTTAATCACAAGAGTGCGTGGCGTGCTGGATGCTTGTTCCTACTTTGGAAGTGGTTGAATCTTCCCAAGACCCTTCGTCTTGATCCGGCGGCAACACGGGCGAGGTGGATGGCAAAGTTGCTGCCGCTCAAGACGGCTCCAAGATGGTCCCCAAGAAAGCCAATCTGATCCAAGCGCCTTGAAGAAGCCAAGATGGTCTCCAAGACTGCTTCCAAACGTTCGAGATGACCTCGAAACGGCCCACGACGGCCGCAAGATGGTGCAAGGCGGCCTCAAGGCAGCTCCAGCGGCCGCACTGCAGTATGCGCCCGAGGTGATCCCACGACGGCTCATGAGGACCCCAAGATGGCTCACGTATGGCTCTTAGATGGTCCAAGACGGCTAAGACGGCCCCCAGCGCGGCCCAAGAGGGTGCATGAGTCCTGCAAGTTTACCCAACATATCCCCAAGAAGGCCCCACATGGCCTCCAGACGGCATCAGGACAGCTCCAAAGTCCCAAGACGGCCAAGAAAGCTCCAAGAGGCCCTCCATGTGGCTCCCAAGAGGCCAAACCATGGATCCCCCTGGGTGGTTGAATATTCTTAGCGTTCTCGACTTTTAGGGCACGCCACGGCCCAAGACGGCCCAAGAGACATCCACTATTATGGCCTCAGGACAGCCCCACAGGCCCCAAATCTGGTCCCACAACAGCCCAACAGGACCCCAAGATGGCCCAACATAACCCCCAAGATGACCCTCAAGACGACCCAGGATGACCTTCAAGGCAGCCCAAGGAGATTTCAAAAGGCCTGCTGGTGCGCACCATCTGTCTCCCAAACAGCCCACCATGGCGTCGAGACGGCCCAAGCTTTCCTCGAGATGGCTCAAGAGGCCCGCAAGAAGGCCCAAGAGGCCCTCCGAAGAGACCGAGGAAGCCAACAGCACGCATTCCCGTAGCTGGTGTCACGAAAACCGATCTCGACGTTTGGGGCTTCCGACGGCTAAATACTGCCCAAGAGGAGTCCAAGATGGCCTGAGGACAGCCCAACATGTCTTCGAAAAGGCCCCAAAGATGGCCCCCAACACAGTCCCCAAAGGGCCCCAGTACGACCAAAGGTTTCCCAGCGAACCACACCTAACCGCCCCAGGAAAGCCCAAAGATGGCCCAGAGAGGCATCACTGCCGGTCTCCGAAGGCACCAGACGGGCGACAAGAGATCCAGAAGATAACGCATACAGCTCCCCGGAGGCCCCAAGAAGCTTCCAAGAGGCCCTGACGAGGCCCTCAAGAAGGCACCAATGGGCCCCCAAGAGGCCCCCGAGAAGCCTCCTCCTCCTTCCCCTCCTCCCTCTTCTCCTCCTCTCCCTCTCCCCCCCGCTCCACCCCCCCGAATGTTCCCCGAATTGTTCCGCAACGGCTGCGCTGGCATGCAATCAACACCATGGCCGAACTTTGTCCAAAAGTTTGACTACATAGGCGTTTCCACAACGCATGTGGTTTCCCGCCCGAGTGTTGCCAGAGGGTTGCCACAATGGCTGGGGAAGCACGTTGTTGTTGAGCTTGGTCAATGTGTGAGCGTTTTTTTCACTCGGCGTTTCGACATTGGGCGGAAAGGGAGGGGGAGGGGGGGTTCTGGCTCCAGACCTCTGCTTAGCGCGGCTGTTTGGGACCGTGCGTCCTATGAGGGGAGACTCCACTTGCTCGAAACAGGCGCCCAAAACAGCCAAGATCTACTCCATGGGGGGGGGAGGGGGGGTGCGAGGGCCTGCGCCGATCGGCCAAACAATGAATAAAAAAACGATCACCAGAGGGTTGCCACAATGGCTGGGGAAACACGTCGTTCATGAGCTTGGTTAATCTCTGGCCACACGTTTGGCCACGTAGTCGTTTCCACGGGGCAGCGGGCGGCGGCCTGGGGAGACACCGGACAACTGCTTGGCCAAAGGTTGGCCTGGTGTCATCACGCGCATACCACTCGTCGCACAAGAGCAGGCCAGCAGTTTCCCGACTTCTTCTTCTTCTTCTTCGACTTCGTCATCGTCTTCTTATACGTTATCTCTGCATGTATGTATATATATACATACATATCTGTGTATATGTATATATGGACATGTGTGTACATCCCTCTGTCCCAATATTTTCGTCTTGCGCATTGTCATTAACAGTGTGCTCATCCTCATCCCCATTTCCTCTTGTGTTC